ATAATATGGACTTCAACAGCAGTAGGGTTATCATACTTACAACTTCTACGTGTATCACCCCTTTTATTTAGTTTGTTCTTGCTAAACATCTTACCGGAAGGATGAAGATGAGAACTATGATAGAGCGGACAGAAAATGCCTGTTCAGTGCCCCGAACGCCTCCCGTTTTACGTAACTTCATTCGGGGAAAACAAGTTCTAACATTGTTCCCGAGCTTCAACATGAATTTCTTACATGGCACGAAGTCGGTTACAAGCTGTATAGCCTAGTCGCTGATGCACCTTAGCGTTTGTGTGCAGAGGTGATATTTGAACGCACCGACATGGAAATCGTTTCAGCTCGCTTCAAACGGGATGCCTGCATAGGGATGCGGCGATGTATCGAGCTATCGATAACATCAGTGGCGAAAATGCGAAATCTTAATATCGGATGACTTGTTCAAGTAAAAGAAGTGGGGAAATATCCATGTCGCTTTTGTGAAAGTCTCGCTCTTTCAGTAACCTTGTAAATACGTAATACCTACGTAAATAAACTAGGCTATGTAGGTTTTCTTACTCGGTTTACGGTCTGGGTTTACAGTCAGTCATTTATTCGTCTATAAAAATATTTTAGGAACACTAGCAGTAGGTGTGTGCATTATTTCTTTGGATATTCAAGGTCTTCCCAAACTTTTAGGGCATAAAGGAATGTTTTTACTGTGACGCCCTTGGGAATTTGCTATTTCTTGCAACATCTATGCGACAGCATAATCATAACATGCCTAAAAAATATTACCTAAACAGTTTATCGATATTGAGATGTTGCCTCCCTATGCCTGCATACCGACAAAATTGGGTTACTAGTGATATTTCCTGGAATATTCACGAACGGCATTAAGCGCCGACTTGAGCAGATAGTGGAGTAACTAAATGAGAAGCCACATTGTAAGAAACTACCTATGTCATTCTAATGTCTGGAAGTTTGTTAGAAAGATGTAACTAAATAAGTTATTACATGTGCAAATAATTTAAGTAACTACTTGTATTTATAACCATTTCTTGAGATAATACTGACATGAAAAGTTTTTTGGATGAGCTCAGGCTTATGAGGAGATCTATACGAAGACAATATACTCGTACTAAGTAGTTCGTACCACAATTTTTAAAAATCCTCCGAATAATTTTCACGCAAAACTTTAAAGCTTTACATTTGAATTCGTCGAAGAAATCACGCGAGGTTACTTACTCGACTATTCCGAAGTCACTTCTTTGGGCAAAGTCTATACGAGTAAGAGCTAAAGTGGATTCAGAAGGCCCAGGTCGCGCAACTGCCTATTATTTTCCAGACTTATTATGTAACTCAGAAAATATTAGAAGACTTTAAGTCCTACACTGGTGGATTCTGGATTACTTTGATCCACATGCCAGAGAGTGTGTGAAAGTCAAAAGAGAACTCAATGAAAAATGTACCTTATCATTTATGAACCCCACAAGCTTCCAGCATTGCCGTAGTAGTTACGTAAATAAAATAAACCGTACACACTCATCAAAAACGTGAACTCGCACTAATCCCTCTGTCGTTCCCTTTTTGTGGAACGAGAAGTCAGTATGCGGCGAATGCGGCGATATTAAAAATGTTTCCGAATGCAACAAAAATTCGATTCGCAAGTTGTCGAAGTTCGCGCGAGTCACGTCGCAAGTTCGAATGTTACTAGGTACAGTCGCCAGCAACATTTTGGTTGTGAAATAGTACCAATTACAACTACACAAGATGCATCAATGTTTTACTTAATGTGATGTCTTCAGTAGTATGTACCTCATCATAATCTAAATTAGCGTAGGTACGTGACGAGCAGAGAATTTTGTTAAACAAGCTACTAATACAGTCACTTCGTTTGCTACGTTGAATATTTTTAAAATTGGTGGAAAGAAGTAGCTACTTAAGTTAATTCTGCTCGAAATACACAAAGATCCAGCCAGAGTTAACTCACTACTAACCGAAGTGCAAGTCACGGAGTCTGTTGTCTGGGAACCGAAAACTATTTAGGTATGACTTTGGATGAAGCTTGAGTTGGTGGTTGACCTATATGGGTAAGTTTTACCTACAGGGTATCGACCAAAACATCATTAGTAGTACACGTACCTACAAGTACAATCATTACCAGAAAAGCTGTCCTGCTATGATAGGACTTAAACTCTCAGTCCTGAGCTTTATACATTAAAATAAATACATAGTTTAAATTTGAACTTACTCAAAACCACAGAACGTGCTCAGGCGAGGGCCTGAAGATTTTACTGCAGACTGGCCGCAATGGGTTCGTGACGGAATAACGCCTTAGCTAGATACTTTTGTTTGCATAAAAATAAGAAAATAGCTCCTTCACTTTCAATTTTAAATTGGACAAAGAGGGAACTGAAATAGCCTTTACCTTCAATACTTTGGTGTAATAGGTAGTAGTTAGGGGAAGGGGGGGCATAGTGGAGTACTTAACTTCAATCGAAAAAATAAAAAGAACCAGATAAGTTACGAAGACTAGTTTTAATCGAAATGATACTACAAGTATTATATTACAGATAACTCTAAAAAATTTACGAATTATTGACTACTTTGGCATAAAATAAGTTTTTTTTATAGTCTATAATTTTCCGCTTTGCCCTTATCACAAGGGCAAAGTGGAATTGCACTTTGGGCAAAGTGAAAAAGGCACTTATTAAGCGTTTATCTACTATATTTGAGCATTTTGCTAATGAGGTCAATTAAATGAAATAACATAAACAACTTATTTAGTAATTAGGAACTGTTTTAGGCCATAAAAAACCTTGTCCCTTACTACTGCAAGATCATATATTTTTTGCTCCAGTTTTTTTGAAAAATACTGGACGAAACCTATCAATCTTCTTCGATGCATCACCAGATTTCAAATGACAATGAAGATTTCCAATTAGGATACCTACCATATTTTTTGATGCCGAACTAATCGTAGTAAGACTCGCTTCCTCCATCGCTCTTCTCATTTCATCTTCTCTCCATGAGCCTTGGTTCGTTTTACTTTTGTAATAATTATGAACCATCTGAAAAAACAAATTAAATATTTCTATGTGGGAATCATTCCACTTTGCCCCCTTGTAATTTTTTCCACTTTGCCTTTTTGATAATAATTACAGTTTTCAATTGATAACTAAGAAAGTATTAAAATTTGTTTAATCTACAAATTGTCAAAGGAATCTATGATAAACAGATATTAGATTTAAATAATAAAAATACCATCACTACTCACTTTTCACAATAATATCCAGTCTCCAAAATCCTTGAATTTCGTAAGAAAGTCACTCGATCTACATCGCGTAGTCATGTAGCCTGCTCGGTGGCGCTAGCCGGACTGATTTTGGTCAATGACCTTGGTCGGCCCTGTGCTTGGCTTACGTGAAGCACGAGTGCCGTTGGGTGAAAGAGTGTTGGTAAAATCAAATTTTTCGCTTTGCCCACCCCTTCCACTATGCCCCCCTCTCCTTACTCCGTGACCATGGCGCTTGCAACAGTGGCAAAATATCCGAAACTCAAAATTAAGGTACATGGTAATCCCGTAAATAATAATTATTATGTTAGTGACCCGAAAGGACGATGGAGCGTGCTATGCTCGGAGTTTCCCTGCGTGATCGAATCAGAAATGAGGAGATCCGCAGGAGAACCAGAGCGAGTGACATAGCCCGCAGAATCGCTAAAATCAAGTGGTCAAAGTCAAAAGTCAAAATTTCTTTATTTGTTTGGACTAATAAATAGTTCTTACAAATCGTCATTTTGCTCTTAAGGAGCCTCTACATGTCTCATAATCTTTTTACCCTACCAGCGCTTCGAGACCAACATTTGGCAAGTGCTGAGAAGAAGCGCCGCAACAAACTCAGTCACCACTGTCTGCCGGTTAATATAAATAAATAGAAATAGTAGTAGTAGTAGTAGTGGTAGTGGGCGGGGCACATAGCTCGTAGAGCTGATGGTCGCTGGGGCGGGAAATTTCTTGAGTGGCGACCACGAGCCAGAAGACGTAGCATGGGCAGGCCTCCCACTAGGTTGACCGACGATCTGGTGAAGGTCGCGGAAGGTGCCTGGATGCGAGCAGCGCAAAACCGGTCTTTGTGGAAATCCTTGGGGGCCTTTGTCCAGCAGTGGACGTCTTTCGGGTGAAACGAACGAACGCACGATGTTAGTGACCATGAAAGTTTAAAACAATATAAAGTAGTAAGTAATTGCTTTTAGTAGGAGCGACTTCAACACCACCTGAATACACAGTTGTGAAATTGTGTTTCTATTTTCTAGTTTGTGTTCTCTGTATTACAGTTAAATAATAAAACACTTGAAAGGTTAAGTTCCCCCTAAATACACCCATTGATAAACATATAGCCGGCCGCAGTATATCGTAAAAAGCGAATGATATCTCTCGCGGACAGCAGATAACTCCGAGATTATGTTAAATGGGGGCCATGGCGGTCCGCGGATCCGATCCGCCACTTATAAAACATAGTCGGGCTCGCGCGCCATTACCGGAGGTCACTTTACCGGATCGCCCGGCTAAATCCGGTAAGTGGCGCACGATGCTCAGATAAATCCCCATATTATTGTTATTGCCCTCCCCGAGGATCCAGACCTCCTTTGTATACGAGCGTCTCGTGCTATTATAATCTGTTTTTCCGTTCGTATTTCCCAATATAGTGTAGATAACTGGTGAGGAATTGGTTTCCAATAAAAGGATTCTTATTTTTCGTTTTCACGCTAGTCCCTAAACAAATCTTTTTGTTCCCTCGCCGGGTGTACACTCGCCGATAAGAATATCGGAAATGTACAATAACGTCTTTATTCCAAGTAATATTATATCCCGACGAATCCCCGAATGAGTGTTCTCATTACTTGATTATTTCATTTGTGTTACGATATTCATATTTTCCTCCAAGTGTATGTGCTATTATTTGTCACGTAATTGACTGAAATTATATTTAATCACACAACAAATCTTTATAATACGGGATATATTATTATAAAATATTAAATACATGTTATGTAACACAGCGATCATGATTCACCGCATGCTTAATTTACGACACGTGACAGACTCGGGCGGGCGGCGGGAGGAGCTACTTCCGTGCGGCGAGCTTCTTCCGCAGCGACTCGGGCATGTCGGCGGGCGGCGGGCGCGGCATCTTCGTGTACACCTTGAAGGCGTCGTACACGAACCACTGCAGCCCCGTCAGCGTGCCGATCATCACGATGCGCGCCACCAGCCCCCGCCAGATGCCCACCATGCCCACCTCGTTGATGATCCCGCCGATCGTCGCGCTCGGGTCCTTGTTCAGCTTGGACACGATCGTGTCCGAGGGGTGCGACACGATCGCGCACAGCACGCCCGCGATGTAGCCGGCCGTGAACGTCAGCACCAGCTGCTCCGCCTTCGTGCACTCGGCCCTCGGTTTCGGCACCACATTCGCGTACAGGTACTCCAGCGTCTTCTCGAACGAGGAAAACTTCATCATGGTGTACGGCACCTGCCGGCCCCATAGAGGCGTCAGGCCTTTGTAGAACACGCCGAACCCTTCGGTCGCCATCATGTGCGGCATGGCCTTCCTCATCTGCGACGTGTAACCAGGTGTGGTCTGCATCCTCACTTTGGTCGCTTCGAACGGGCACAGGAGAATATCCGCGATCAACTCCGCGGAGGCTGACGCTGCCAAATACATGTATGTCCGGTAAAGGTACGCGGTTTCCTCATCAACCATTGTGGCGAATTTGTATTTGAAGTATTCGTAGCCGGAGAATTTAGCGGCGCCCTGGAGGGAGTAGCCGATGAGGGTGGGCGCCCAGCCCTTGACGAGGTTGGCCATGCCGCCCTCCTTGAAGGAGATGCCGAAGCCCTTGAAGATGGACTTGTACTTGGCGGGGTCGACCTGCAGGCGGCACTTGACGAGGTCGAGCGGCGTGACGAAGGTGTGCGTGGCGCCGCAAGCCACGGCGCCGCCCGCGCCGCACAGCATGAAGAACTTGTTGCTGAACATCTCGCACGAGAACTCCTCCTTGGGTTTGGCCATGTTGCTCGCGAGTGTACACTTCCGCGCCCAGAAACTGCTCGACCCTCCGCCCGCACCTTGCTATGGATGTCTTTTCCTATTGTGAAATTTTAAGCGTTAATTTGAATGTTTTTGCTTTCTTCTTTTGACGTACCACTTTGACATCAATTTTGCTCATCTTTCTACTGACATTGAAAGTCAAATCTCAAAGTGTAGGTTTAAGAAGAAATATTTTTGTTTATAGCTTTTCACTTCGAGCAGACAGAATTTGGAAACGTCATACACATATCATCACCGATTTAATTGAAAGTTTTTAGTATTCTTGGAAAGCGTTATTTACAATCACGTTGGTCAATTCTCTGAAATTACTTTATTATCAAATTGTTTTCTGACCATAACACAAATATTAATTTTGGTCACTTCAAACTAACCGAGCACTTAATTGCTCTTTATCAAAAGGTATTAAATAAATACAGCATTTATTTGAATTAAAAATTTATTAATTTTATTTTCATCCACCAACATACATTATCTTTATTCTGTAAGGTATTAATTAAGCCTAAATGTACTAGCATTTTATATTAATTTTTATTTTTGTATACACATATTTACAAAATTAAACAGCTCTATTGCATTCACTTTTGTACTTTCTACGAGCCAAAATATAATATTAAATTCAGCTTATGCAAATATAAAATAAATCTTCGAATGTACGCAGATTTTATCGCTACCTTAGACTTAAAATGAGAATAAAAATAAATAGGCTCTTAATAAATCTACGTATTTGTTACTTATGTTAAAACGAACACCTATACACTGGCTTTCAATGGCAAATGGTGATGCGAAACGTTAAACATAAAAATATCGATAATCGTATCGTACTCGTATTACATTCGATATTAAAATACATCTATTTGGTTGGACGATATTCGACGCTCTCTCGTCAATAACTAGTACATAATTATTATGCATTCAAACCTCACACAATTTAATACTGCCGACGAGATCGCCCCAGGCGGCCGGACTGCATGACTCGGAGGAACATGCCTTGAATATTTTGCGCCGACGCGGCCCGCTTAGTGATTCGATTAACCAACTTTAACATTTAGTCGTGAATTGACACAACTCGATTGTGCCAGTCTCTAAACTAAACTAACTTAAAACTTTATTATTCGCCATTTAATGAAAAGTTGAACTGGACTTTTTAAAATTGTTTATCGAAAATTAATGATGTTTTAACTTGGGTAGGTATTGCTATATTTTAACGTAGGTTTAGCTTTGTAGTGAAAGTTATTGTGATAAGAGAAGAAGATACACTAAATTAGTTTAGATAGACTCACATAGCGTTATCCGTTGGCCAAAAATATTCAAAGGCGACAAAAACCAGTCAATCGTTCCAGTGACACTTTCTTTTCATACGTAGTGTGACTAGCCTTATCGTCAAATATAAGAAACTTACATAAAATTCCTGTTAACTGACATTTTGTTCAGTTAATCTACCGATATGAGTGCGCGTGACTTAGCACAACACTATGGCAGTATGTTGTCGCTCAGTGACTGGATACATGGCAGTGATTACATAACACTCAATCCTTTTATTACCACTCCAATCATTATAATATTATTTACACAACATAAATCAACATCCTGCTTTTTGCGACGCCAACTAATATTAGTAACGACAGTAGATAATATTTTTGTTAAAATAGTTATGTCAGCAAAAAGCAAGATATTATTACACTCTGAAACATTTTTTTTTTCATATCGATAATATTACCGACTTCACAAGTGCATCTCTATAATTGAAAAATATATCAAATTACCAAGAGAAGTGTAGAGCGTTTCGTTTTGAATACTTACGAAGCTATTNTGGTCTTACCACTAGACCACAGAGGCGGTTGGTCCATAAGACTCCATCTGCGCTTACTTAGTGACGTGTGCAGGTAGTGCTGGCGTAGAGGACTCGATCCTCCTGGGCCACGGCTCTGGGGTGCAACGGCCGGAGACCAGCGAGCGGTGGCACATTCCCGTTCGATGATCTGAAATGGATATCAGTATCTTCATTTGACTTGGCATGGAAAAATAGTTAGGTTGAGACTTGAATGTCCGAAAGAAGACAGAGAAGGCAAATGGACAAAAAAGTCAAGATGATTGAAATAGATTTTCCTAGTACAACGAGCAGTGCTCTAACCATTCAGGGACTGGGTAGTCAATGCGAAAAAACGCTCAACGGTTGGAATGTGCAGCCCCCCTAGACAAAACGCACTTGTTGATCGAATCGAAAATCGAATCCGTCAAAACTCCATACAAAAAAGGGGCTTTTCGACCACTTTTCGACTGGTTTGCGATTATAATTTGCACTTTGTCTAGACCCACAGGTGTCAAAATGTCCATACGGACCGGCTGTTAGTGTGGCAGAAAGTATGAACGTCAAAAAGTCCCAGTGCCAAAATGTACATTATTACCATGGTTACAATGGTATAGTGACAAATGGTACACATCACAAAATACAAGTACAACAAAAGGTGTGATAGATAAAATGATCAACTGATATATTGTGCTCATGTATTCATGAGCACAATATATCATGAGCATAATTTATTAATTAATAAAATTAAATGTCAAAATGTTCAATGTTCTTGTAGTCTAGTCAATAAAGTTCTTTTTGGACATTTTTACCTTGACGCATTTAAACACGTGTTCACGTTAGCTATTATACAATAAGACGCTGGTTCAAATAAACCCGAAGACATTTTAACTTCAGATCATTTTAACCATTGCTCATTTCGACGTTCATACTTTTTGCCACACTAACAGCCAGTCCGTATGGACATTTTGACACCTGCACATTCCAACCGTTGAGCGTTTTTTCGCATTGACTACCCAGTCCCAGAATGGCAGACGACAGCACATGACGCTGAACACTGCAGTATCTTATGGAGTGACAATAGGTGCAATCTCCCTACATACCGATGCAAGCCGTCCCGTCGTCGCTGGGCTCGAAGCCGGCGTCGCAGTCGCAGGCGAAGCCGCCGTCGGTGTTGATGCACACGCCGGGCGAGCAGCGCTCCGGCCGCTCGGCGCACTCGTCGATGTCTTCGCACGCGTCGGGCGCGTCGTGAGGCGCTGACGTTCGCCGGTAACCTGCGAGAGAAACATTAGGACATCAAGCAACGTCTTATTTTATGCCTATGAGCAACCATAGGCGTTTAACCAAGACATCGTTTTAAATCAGATCAAGAGCGTTCAACCCTCAAACTGCGTCATGCGAACAAACAGCGTCGTGTCAGAAACTGGAGGTACCGAAGAGGACATCACTTCGCGCATTGCCAAGGCCAGAGCTACCTTCGCACAACTTCGCCCCATATGGCAGTCACGGAAATTGACCCGAAGTGAGGCGGGTCGTTACATTCCCTATAATATGGTCGAGTGAAGCGATGGCTGGTTCACACGTCATGTCTGTGAACAGGCGCTGCCTTCGGGGACTGGTCAAGACAAGATATACCTACCTTAATTTTTTTAACATAACAAGTAACAATCAACTTGACAGTGGCACGGCATTAAACATAAGTATACATATACAATTTATTTAAAACTACCACACGGTTTTGTTATGGTGCCTTGCTTTTCTCTCTAGAGTTTTCTTGCCTTGTCTCCTAAATAGTTTTATATCTGGCACTTAGCCAGAANTATTACCGACTTCACAAGTGCATCTCTATAATTGAAAAATATATCAAATTACCAAGAGAAGTGTAGAGCGTTTCGTTTTGAATACTTACGAAGCTATTTTCATAACCATTTCAGGAAGTTCCAGGAACAGTTCGTTTGTAAAAATATCATTTGATGGTTTAATACCAGAATGTATTTTTCACATGAACATTGCAAAACAAACATAGATGTTATTAGTAATTAGGAAACGTAAAAAAACAATATTTAGAGAACATAATTAACCAACTCGAGAAACGGTATTCTCTGAAATTACTAAGACGTTTTAAGACGCTTTTTAATTTCATTCCGTTCATTATGGATGTAATTTTATTAACAGTTACATAGCTATACTTATTTCTTCTGGGAAACTCAATTTACATATCTCCACAATATCCAAAAATAATACATGAATAAAACACTCTACAAATCTTTTCCTAATTACGAAAGATGAAAAGGTATATTTACATTGCTACGTGGAATGCGTAGATTACAGTGCTTCCACAAAAATATCGTATACTCCACGTCACGAAGCAACGAAAAAATACCTCTTCCAAAAAAAACCCCTCAAGAAACATCAACGTTTTCATTCTTACACAGCTTCACAAAACAAGTCTAGTATTGTATACCAGATACCGTATCAGCGTTTCGAAGGCGCGGGCGCAACTCGGACTGTGACGTAGAGACGTAGCGGCGCGGGCGCGAGAGGGGTAGATGAAGCGAGCGGGGAGAGGGCGGCGCGACGGGAACGCGGCCTCGACTGCGGGTAGACGAAGCGGGCTTCTAACTCCAGCTGTCGCTCTAGCTCTGTGTTTGACTTGAGGTGCCGGCGCATCCGTAGTGCCCACGCGCCGTCGCGCTTGTTGAGGATGAAGTCCTGGAAGATAATGATGAGTTGGTTTACTACCTTCTTTCTAAAAACTCTGTCCGGCCAAATCTAGAATATTCTTCTAGAAATAATGGAGGTGCTCATAAAAACTTTTTAAATCTGAAAAGGTACAACTAGCGCATATAAACTATTTATTTCAGGATACGAAGCCGAAGTAGGGGTTATGGTGGCAAAATATTGCCCTGAATATCCATTCAATAAGGAACTAAGGCAACTTCTGATCATTGGATAGCTCCTGAGCTGAGTATCCATCCGGGTGCTTCATTAAGGGGTGCAAACTTGCGAAAAAGACCGCAAAAAAGTAATTCCGTCTTGAATGTCAATCTTAGCGTTGCATTGAAAGGGTTCTGAAAATTCCATAAAGAAGAATCTGCCTCTTTGTCGTCGTCTATAGGTGATGAAGGTCTTAAAAAAGTATTGCCTAGACTCTACCTAGAGCAGTCTTTCCCAAAGTGGGCGATAACGCCCCCTTGTGGGCGCTGCAGGCTTAAAGGGGGGCGGTAGGAGACCCAGAAAAAAAAATCGGGACGTTGTGTAGAGGCTTGGGAGGCGTCATCTACTAGTCCTCCTAGACACCGACTGCGCTCGACTCTTGACTACTCTCTACTCACGGACATTGCCCGCGGGCGGCGTGACCGGAGGGAGCGGCGAGCGTTCGGCGAACGAACGAGCAATGTTCGGTTCGCGAGCGAACATCTAAGAAGACGATCCTGACGCACTCTCTTCAACGACTTTGCACAAAACGGTCTCGATTATATTGTAAATTTATACCGAATAGATAATTAATTTCATACAGTCCACTCTTTTCATTTATAAACTTCCACTACACTCACTATCGAAGTAACAACTACCAAAATGGGGGGCGCTAAAAAATATTTTATTCTCAAAGTGGGCAGTAGACTAAATAAGTTTGGGAACCGCTGACCTAGAGTGTCAATCCAAGCGTTTCATTCAAGAGGGTAAATGGTACAAATGATTACCTTGTCGTCGTCCCCATACGCGATGCGGTAGTGCGCACGCGCACTGCCCTCGGCGGGCACGAGGCGCAGCAGCGGCGCGCGGCCCCACGTCTGGCGCGCCGTCGCAGCGATCACGATCAGCTCCGCTTCGGGCTCCAGCAGCGAGCGGCGCCCTGACACATCATCATCATCATCAACAACAACAGCCCTTTACAGTCCACTGCTGGACTATGAGCCTCCTCCACTATGGTGGAGGGATTTGCCATAATCTCCACGCTTGGCAGGCGGGTTGGAGATCGCAGTTTAAAAGATTGATGTTTTTCAGAGAGCGCTGCTGCCCATTCTCTGTTTGTTGTGTAGTCCCTAAGTCGCCTCTTACGACACCCGCGGGAAGAGTAGGGGTTGGTGACAAATGTATTCTACTCTGCCGTCACCACACGCCCTGACACAAGTAAATGAAAATCAGTTAAAGACCCCGAGATCAGGAACAGCTCTGCTTCTGGCTCCAGCAGCGAGCGGCGCCCTGACACAAGTAAATGAAAATCAGTTAAAGACCCCGAAATTACGAACAGCTCTGCTTCTGGCTCCAGCAGCGAACGGCGCCCTGTCACGCAATTGGAAATCGGTTAGAGGGAGATCTAGCCCTCCAAACACATTCTTCATCTTTCGTGAAGGTTGTAACAAAGAGATTATTATCCTGGTGTCATTTTTTATGAACCGATATGGCTCAATCGACTGACAGACTGATGTGGAGGGGAGCAGGGCATCACATTTCATCAGGCAAAAACGATTTGCTATTAACAAAGTAGTACCATCGGCAACAGTGTTAACTATCCATTGCCTGTCATGTCGTCTCGTTCTATCGCAAAGAATCACCATTTGATGAGAACAAGAGCAAAAACGGAAATAGATAGTTAACAGTGTGGCCGTGTGTACGTGAGCGAGCTCTCTACATTTTGAACTGAATAGAATTAAAGTTTTATTGTGTGAGTGCTTACGACGCTGCACAGAGTAGTACAGTGAAATAACTTTACCAAAGCATATGGTCTATAATATTGCCTTTATAAGCATTGAATTGAAAGCTGTAAGATTTGAGAAGTAAATAACAAAAATATCCGAGACTTACGTCTGCTACGTCTCCTGCGTTTCCTTACGACTGTGGTGCCGTTGGCGAATACTAATGCTTCCTCGGGTGCTCTTCGTCTACGTCCGTTTATCTGCAGAAGAAACAAGATAAATATTTTTATTTTGACTCTCAATAAAATGACGATAAGAGCCCTTTTCAAAACCAGTGATGCCTCACCTTACAGCTGAAGCAGCCCTCGTTAGATACCAAGTCGCTTCCCGTCCCTCCAACCTTGTACTGGTTGCCGAGCGGGAAGACGGGCGCGTCTCCTATGTCATCGGGAGGCAACGCCGCATCCAGTGCGGTGAGACAATGACCAGCTCCGACCAGTCTGTAGCCGGTAGGGCAGCCGCACTCGAACGAGTCGCCGAGAGACTGGCAGCCGAATAAGCAGCTAGCGGTAGCACAGCCGCCTGCCAACTGAGGAAAAATATGAATAAGAATAAGAAGCGTTTATTTGCCAGAATACAGGTTATAAGGTTCTTACAAAAAATTTTTAGTACAAGTATTCAACCTGCATGCAGTTGAGTTCATGTTATCCGAAGGAATAAATACGAAACAATCATCAACCCTTTCGGTGTGACTGGTATGACATACGAGTAATATAAGGTTCGGTATAAAGTTGTGGAAGGGCAAGACTTTCTCTTCCTCCAAAAAAGTTCCCTCCCAATACTTGATAAGTCATCTCCAACCATCCTAAATTAGGGAAGATGACAGTCTGTCCTGGATATGCATCAAGCTGCACGAGTAACTTGGATTTTGTTTATTTCACTTATGTGTCTGACATGGCTCAATCTGATTCACAATTTAACATACCTTCAAAAACTTGGAATCATATTTTAAACTGGAAACACATAAGTTTTACGCTATGTGTAACCCATCACCAACCCAACCAAGAACAGTGGTTGGTGAACTGGACTCTTTCAATTTATAGTCTGGTCCGTGAGCACGTAGAATTTTGTCCAATGACCCTTAGCTACCCATCCTTATCGCTCGTAATTATGTTGCCAGTCGCACAGTCGCGACAGCAATATAATTACGCGCGAGCGATAAGGATGGGTAGCTAGGGGTCATTGGACAAAATTCTACGTGCTCACGGACCGGGCTTTAGATAAATCTGAATTCATGTTGGGAAGAAACTTTCCACTTGAGTTGAGTGCCACTGACCTGCAGGCACACGCCGTGCGCCGCGTCCCAGCCGTAGCCGGCGGGGCAGCCGCAGCGGTAGGCGCCCGCCACCGGGAAGCACGGCGAAGCGCCGCACGGGCCCGCCGCGCACGCGTCCACCGGCACGCAAGCGCCGCTCGCGCCACGTACGGAACCTAAAATAAAACAATTTTTGTTCAATTTTAATGCTTAAAATTACATTAAAAGTGAATGCTAATGTGGTTATGCAAAATAAACTATTGAGTATTGAGTAAAGAGCCCTTAAGGAACTCTTACGCCACCTTTTAGGCCTTACCAGCGCATTGAAACTAACAAATGGCAGCTGTTGAGTGAAGAAACTGGAACCTGATCTCATACATCAAAAAAATAACTGGAGTAGAATCACACATGGCAGACAATTTAGATTCATTTCAGTCGTAACAGCAAAGTTGCACGAGAGCCTGGGATGGGGTTGGCTACCAATACAAATACAAATACAAAAAATACAAAATTGTTTATTCAGAATCAGGTTTGAAAAAATAAATGCATAACATTCTGTATCCACTGAAACATGAACAATAATCTCCCACAAGGTAGGTTGATGCTCTCATAAATGTAGCAGGAATTCGCTGAATGGAGGCCGCTACCAACGCCGGGGCGATATGGAAATCATTGGGGGAGGCCTATGTTCAGCAGTGGACATCCTGTGGCTGAAATGATGATGATGACGATGATGATGAATTTCACCGGCCGGGCACTCGGCTGCCGGCGTAGTTGCGGCAGGGCGACTGGCAGCGGCCGTCCTCGCCTCGTCGCGGCCGGGCAGCTGTAAAGCAAGCAGTCTCACCAGCCGGGCAGCTGTAAAGCAAGCAGTCTCACCGGCCGGGCACTCGCAGCGGTAGCCGCCGGTCTCGTCGCGGCCGGGCAGCTGTAAGGCAAGCAGTCTCACCGGCAGGGCACTCGCAGCGGTAGCCGCCGGTCTCGTCGCGGCCGGGCAGCTGTAAGGCAAGCAGTCTCACCGGCAGGGCACTCGCAGCGGTAGCCCAAGGCGACTGGCAGCGGCCGTCCGCCTCGTCGCGCTGGGCAGCTGTAAGGCAACCAGTCTCACCGGCCGGGCACTCGCAGCGGTAGCCGCCGGCGTAGTTGCGGCAGGGCGACTGGCAGCGGCCGTCTGCACTCGTCGCGGCCGGGCAGCTGTAAGGCAACCAGTCTCACCGGCCGACTGGCAGCGGCCGTCTGCACACGTCGCGGCCGGGCAGCTGTAAGGCAACCAGTCTCACCGGCCGGGCACTCGCAGCGGTAGCGACGCCGGTCTCGTCGCGGCCGGGCAGCTGTAAGGCAACCAGTCTCACCGGCCGGGCACTCGCAGCGGTAGCCGCCGGCGTAGTTGCGGCAGGGCGACTGGCAGCGGCCGTCCTCGCACTCGTCGCGGCCGGGCAGCTGTAAGGCAACCAGTCTCACCGGCCGGGCACTCGCAGCGGTAGCCGCCGGCGTAGTTGCGGCAGGGCGACTGGCAGCGGCCGTCCTCGCACTCGTCGCGGCCGGGCAGCTGTAAGGCAACCAGTCTCACCGGCCGGGCACTCGCAGCGGTAGCCGCCGGCGTAGTTGCGGCAGGGCGACTGGCAGCGGCCGTCCTCGCACTCGTCGCGGTCGAGGCAGCGCGCGCCGGCCAGGTCCAGGCGGAAGCCGCGCGGGCACACGCAGCGGTACGAGCCCAGCAGGTTCACGCACTTGCCCGGCGCCGGGCATATGCCCTCCTCGTGGCATTCGTTCACATCTGCGAAAACAGTCAATAAGCAGTCTCCTTTTTGACAGTCTAATGCCCGTTTTCACCATCAATACCTAAGTTTTACGTGACCCCTATGGTAACACATAATATGAATTTTGTTGGTATAGGGGTCACTTAAAAAATAGGGATTGATGGTAAAAACGGGCATAACTCTAAAGAGTATGGATACAAGACTCCAAATACTATCTCTCTCTCTCTCGCTCGTTAGGTAGCTGTTTAGGCTGTATGGGCACTAGTAGCAGTAGCTACTGGCGTAGCTCCTGCAGAGCGACTGGCAGCTGCAGTTCTATAAGTCTAACCATTTTACTACTCTCGTATACTGACCTACGCAGGCATCTCCTCGCTTCTCATATCCCTCCTGGCAGGAGCACTCATAAGACCCATCGGTATTAGTGCAGGTCTGCTGACAAGTATGCGTGCCTCGTGCACACTCGTCCACGTCTTTGCAGTCGGCGTCGTCGTCGAGCTCGTAGCCGGCGCGGCAGGCGCACTCGTACGAGCCTTCGGTGTTGCGGCACACCTGTGCGCACGGCTTGGGTCGCTGTGCGCACTCGTCCACGTCCACGCAAACATCGCCCGCTGATTTGTAGCCGCGGCCGCATACGCAGCGGAAACTGGAAGAAAGAAAGAAAGAAAGAAAGAAAGAAAAATATTTTTATTTAGTCCTTAGACTACTTACAACAATATAATTACTAAGTAGTTAAATTTGAACCAAAATGGCAGCCACTCAGCATGTGCTATGCCCTAGGTCAAGACCTAGAGTATAACGCTGGTATTCTGTGGCAACCATATAAATCAAAATTCAGGCTTCAAAAGAATAATTATAATGAAGAAAAAATCATACGATACTACGCAACAAATAAACTGCCCCCTAGACAAGTGGCACTTTTTGATCGCTCTTCACTACAAGTAAAACGCCGTAGCTTAGGTCTTTCGAAATTACAACTGTCACATTTATCCACTTGTTGGGGGCTAGAGTCAAGACTGGTAGGTACCTACATTATTTAGTTACTTTTAGTCCAAAGTAAATGGAAATATAATAGTAGAGCTGATGGCTGTTGGGAAAGAAATAGTGACTGAGTTTCTTGCGCTGCTTCTTCTCAGCACTGGCCCATTTATTGTCCCGAAGCAGTGGTAGGGTTAATATTGGGACGTGTAAAAGTGCTTTTTAAAAGCCTATTTGCAAAAATAAATGAGTTTTTATGAGTTTTTTATGAGTTTTTATGAAAAGGTCTTCAGTTTACATCCAAGAAAAGGTCATAAAAAATAAATTATCACAACTCACCTGCCAATAGTGTTCACACATCTGCCCGGAGCGCAAAGTCCAGGCATGGCCGCACACTCGTCGACGTCTCCGAATATGTCCGGGAACCTGCCGTCCCCTCCGATGACTCCTCCGCCGTGTCCGCCTCCGATTTTGTGGTCGCTGCCGCCGCCGAAGCCGCCGCCGAAACCGCCGCCGCCGCCGCCGCTGCCGCCGCCGCCGCCGCCTCCGCCGAGGTTGGTGACCGTGCAGAGTTCAGCTCTCTCGGCGGTTCCGTGAGCGGGACACAGCTCGCATTCAGGACCCCAGGCCGCGCCGACAGTACAGCAACATTGAGCCCTGGAGAAAGTTTTTGGCGTCAGTCACTTAATAACTCAGAATATTTGAATCAGAACCTTTTTTTTTGTTTCTTTATCCACAACGAGGAAGCTCTTGACCTGATGGTAAGTGACGATCAGGCCGAAGGTGGAAGCGAGCTTCACCCGGAATCCTCAACCACGGAGGAACTGGCTATCTTACCTCTAACTGCCGGAACACAACAATGCTGTTAACATTGTTGTTATGGCGACAGACTTAGGTAAGATGGTGGTAGCTAGCCAGGCGGACTTAGAACAAGCCCTACCACCAACCAAACCGAATAGAAAAATCTGCCCCCAATGAGAATCGAACCCGGGACCTCTGCGTCTGAAGCAGGTGGTCTTACCACTAGACCACAGAGGCGGTTNAACAGTTATGTCAGCAAAAAGCAAGATATTATTACACTCTGAAACAATTTTTTTTTTCATATCGATAATTTTATCGACTTCACAAGTGCGTCTCTATAATTGAAAAATATATCAAATTACCAAGAGAAGTGTAGAGCGTTTCGTTTTGAATACTTACGAAGCTATTTTCATAACCATTTCAGGAAGTTCCAGGAACAGTTCGTTTGTAAAAATATCATTTGATGGTTTAATACCAGAATGTGTTTTTCACATGAACATCGCAAAACGAACATAGATGTTATTAGTAATTAGGAAACGTAAAAAAACAATATTTAGAGAACATAATTAACCAACTCGAGAAACGGTATTCTCTGAAATTACTAAGACGTTTTAAGACGCTTTAATTTCATTCCGTTCATTATGGATGTAATTTTATTAACAGTTACATAGCTATACTTATTTCTTCTGGGAAACTCAATTTACATATCTCCACAATATCCAAAAATAATACATGAATAAAACACTCTACAAATCTTTTCCTAATTACGAAAGATGAAAAGGTATATTTACATTGCTACATGGAATGCGTAGATTACAGTGATTCCACAAAAATATCGTATACTCCACGTCACGAAGCAACGTAAAAATACCTTCATCCAAAAATCCAAAAAACATCAACGTTTTCATTCTTACACAGCTTCACAAAACAAGTCGTGTCGTATACCAGATACCGTATCAGCGTTTCGAAGGCGCGGGCGCAACTCGGACTGTGACGTAGAGTCGTAGCGGCGCGGGCGCGAGAGGGGTGGATGAAGCGAGCGGGGAGAGGGCGGCGCGGCGCGAACGCGGCCTCGACTGCGGGTAGACGAAGCGGGCTTCTAATTCCAGCTGTCGCTCTAACTCTGTGTTTGACTTGAGGTGCCGGCGCATCCGTAGTGCCCACGCGCCGTCGCGCTTGTTGAGGATGAAGTCCTGGAAGGCAATGATGTATTTTAAATAATAAATAACCTTGGGTCTGAAGACTCGGTCCTGCCAAATCTAGAATCATCATCATTTCAGCCATAGGACGTCCACTGCTGAACATAGGCCTCCCCCAATGCTTTCTATGTTGATCGATTGGTAGCGGCCTGCGTCCAGAGCTTCCCTGCTACCTTTACGATGTCGGTCTAGAATATTCTTCTAGAAATGATGGACAGTAATCTGTTGCTCATAGAAACTCTTACACTGGCGTATTTCAGTCGAGGCATAAAAACCATTTCAGGAAACGAAGTAGAGAAACTAGGGTTTATGGTAATTTCAAAGGTGGAAAAATTGGTCTCGATTCTCAGCTGTGTTGTATTTAATTGGAACTTATGAAAGCTATTCTGTAGATCGTGGAAACGCCACCATTGGATGTACCGTCCTCGAGTGGCCCATGCCGGCTTCATTGAAGGAGGAAGTTTATTAATGACCTCAAAAACGTTTCACGCTTCGAGTGTCTATCCAAGCATCGCATTCGCATTTGAAGAATCCTATAAAGCTATAAAATGACTTCTTGGCGGGAATCTGAAGCGTCATGTTAGCGGTTTTGTTTTATTTCCTCAAATTCGTGTTTAGGTGACTATTAATGTGTGATAATGGTGGGTTATTAACCATTGAGTGTTCGTGAACGTGCATGAGTGTGGGCGAGTGAAGCAAAACAGTGCATCGTGATTCTTCGGGTTCTCTCAAGTTGTCCATAGGAGGTCTCAGTAAAGCACCACAACTTTACTAAGACTCAAAGGGTGGGAAGGGGTATCATCTATCATCCTTCATTATATCATTACTTGATCTCATTTTGTAACTCGTATCACTTATATAAACTTGAAAATGGCAAAAATCAAGTCGACGTCGACGTGTATTGCCAACATCATCAAAAAAGAAGAAGAAGAAAGCTATAAAAGAATCTGTTACCTTGTCGTCGTCCCCATACGCGATGCGGTAGTGCGCACGCGCACTGCCCTCGGCGGGCACGAGGCGCAGCAGCGGCGCGCGGCCCCACGTCTGGCGCGCCGTCGCTGAGATCACGATCAGCTCTGCTTCGGGCTCCAGCAGCGAGCGGCGCCCTGACACAAGTAAATGAAAATCAGTTAAAGACCCCGAGATCACGAGTAGCTCTGCTTCTGGCTCCAGCAGCGAACAGGGCCCTGACACTGCAAAACAAGTTAGAGACCTATCCCTTTAAGACACATGATACACCACAATGAGACCACTACGCTGGTGTTAAGCAACTGAACTAATTGAACTGACATAGCTAAAACGTACTGATGACCTAACTAGCTCGTCGAAGCACCTTTTTAGGGTTCCGTAGTTCTGACCTTATAGTTTCGATATGTCTGTCTGTCTGTCTGTCTGTCTGTCCGAGGTTTTTCTTGGAAACTATTGGCACTAGCTTGAGACAACCAGGAGTTGCTCTTGTACGTTCTGCTAAAAGATGACGCGTAAGCAACTATATTTTGAAAACTCATAGAATGAAAGTGAGATGCAAACGGCGCTGCACAGAGCAGTAGAGCAGTACAGTGAAATATTTTTACTTTAGCCTTGATAAAGGAATCAAATTGAAGACTGTGGTAGTAAATAACAAAAAATATCCAAGACTTACGTCTGCTGCGTCTCCTGCGTTTCCTTACGACTGTGGTGCCGTTGGCGAATACTAATGCTTCCTCGGGTGCTCTTCGTCTACGTCCATTTATCTGCAGAAGAAACAAGATATATTTTTATTTTGACTCTAAATAAAATGACGTTATGAGCCCTTTTCAAAACCAGTGATGCCTCACCTTACAGCTGAAGCAGCCTTCGTTAGATACCAAGTCGCTTCCCGTCCCTCCAACCTTGTACTGGTTGCCGAGCGGGAAGACCGGCGCGTCTCCTATGTCATCGGGAGGTAACGCCGCATCCAGTGCGGTCAAACAGTGGCCAGCTCCGACCAGTCTGTAGCCGGTGGGGCAGCCGCACTCGAACGAGTCGCCGAGAGACTGGCAGCCGAATAAGCAACTGGCGGTAGCGCAGCCGCCAGCCAACTAAGGAAAAATATGAGTTCATGTCATCTGAAGGAATAAATACGAAACAATCATCACCCTTTCGGTATGACATAATAATATAAGGTTGTGGAAGGGCTAGTTAGTTCTCTTCCTCCAAAAAAGGTCCCTCCCAATACTTGATAAGTCATCTCCAACCATCCTAGATCAGGGAAGATGACAGTCTGTCCTGGATATGCATCAAGCTGCACGAGTAACTTGGATTTTGTTTATTTCACTTATGTGTCTGACATGGCTCAATCTGATTGGCAATTTAACATACCTTCAAAAACTTGGAATCATATTTTAAACTGGAAACACATAAGTTTTCACGCTATGTGTAACCCATCACCAACCCAACCAAGAACAGTGGTTGGTGAACTGGACTCTTTCAATTTATAGACTGGTCCGTGAGCACGTAGAATTTTGTCTTCGAGCGATAAGGATGGGTAGCTAGGGGTCATTGGACAAAATTCTACGTGCTCACGGACCGGGCTTTAGATAAATCTGAATTCAAGTTGGGAAGAAACTTTCCATTGAGTTGAGTGCCACTGACCTGCAGGCACACGCCGTGCGCCGCGTCCCAGCCGTAGCCGGCGGGGCAGCCGCAGCGGTAGGCGCCCGCCACCGGGAAGCACGGCGAGGCGCCGCACGGGCCCGCCGCGCACGCGTCCACCGGCACGCACGCGCCGCTCGCGCCGCGCACGGAGCCTGAAATAAAACATTTTGATCAGTTTGAACCAGATTTGGATCTAAAACACTCTAAAATTATATGAAAGATCCCTTAAGGAACTCTTACGCCACCTTTTAGGCCTTACCAGCGCATTGAAACTACAAATGGCAGCTGTTGAGAAGAAACTGGAACCTGATCTCATACATCAAAAAAATAACTGGAGTAGAATAACAATTTAGATTAATTTCATTCGTAACAGCAAAGTTGCACGAGAGCCTGAGATGGGGTTGGCTACCAATAAATGCATAACTATCTATATCCACTGTTACATGAACAATAATCTCCCACAAAGTGGACCGACGACCTCATAAAGGTAGCAGGAAGGCGCTGGATGCAGGCCACTACCAGCCGGGCGATATGGAAATCATTGGGGAAGAGTACCTATTTAGCAGTAAACGACCGGTGGCTAAAATGATGATGATGATGATGATTCTCACCGGCTGGGCACTCGCAGCGGTAGCCGCCGGTCTCATCGCGGCCGGGCAGCTGTAAGGCACCCAGTCTCACCGGCCGGGCACTCGCAGCGGTAGCCGCCGGCCTCGTCGCGCCGGGCAGCTGTAAGGCAACCAGTCTCACCGGCCGGGCACTCGCAGCGGTAGCCGCCGGCGTAGTTGCGGCAGGGCGACTGGCAGCGGCCGTCCGCCTCGTCGCGGCCGGGCAGCTGTAAGGCAACCAGTCTCACCTGCCGGGCACTCGCAGCGGTAGCCGCCGGCGTAGTTGCGGCAGGGCGACTGGCAGCGGCCGTCCTCGCCTCGTCGCGGCCGGGCAGCTGTAAGGCAACCAGTCTCACCGGCCGGGCACTCGCAGCGGTAGCCGCCGGCGTAGTTGCGGCAGGGCGACTGGCAGCGGCCGTCCTCGCCTCGTCGCGGCCGGGCAGCTGTAAGGCAACCAGTCTCACCGGCCGGGCACTCGCAGCGGTAGCCGCCGGCGTAGTTGCGGCAGGGCGACTGGCAGCGGCCGTCCTCGCACTCGTCGCGGTCGAGGCAGCGCGCGCCGGCCAGGTCCAGCCGGAAGCCGCGCGGGCACACGCAGCGGTACGAGCCCAGCAGGTTCACGCACTTGCCCGGCGCCGGGCATATGCCCTCCTCGTGGCATTCGTTCACGTCTGCAAAAACAATACATGCCATAACTATGAAATATACTCAACTTCGTAATTATCAAAGTTAGTTCAAAGTTTCCTTTTTGATCTCTTTAGTCTGAAAAGTATGGATACAAGATCCACCAAGTCCAGGAGCTTGTCAGGCAGCTATAGGCTGCCACCGGCGTAGTTCCTGCTAAAGCCTGGTCCGTGAGCTCGTAGAATTTTGTCGCACACTCACTGCGGGCGCCCGTCGCATAGTCACGACAGCAATATAATTACGTGCGAGCGATAAGGATGGGTAGCTTGGGGTCATTGGACAAAATTCTACGTGCTCACGGACCAGGCTTTAGGCGACTGACAGTCTATCTATTCTAAAGGTCTAACAATATAACTGCTCTCGTATACTGACCTACGCAGGCATCTCCTCGCTTCTCATATCCCTCCTGGCAGGAGCACTCATAAGAACCATCCGTATTAGTACAGGTCTGCTGACAGGTATGCGTTCCGCGCGCACACTCGTCCACGTCTTTGCAGTCAGCGTCATCATCAAGTTCGTAGCCGGCGCGGCAGGCGCACTCGTACGAGCCTTCGGTGTTGCGGCACACCTGTGCGCACGGCTTGGGACGCTGTGCGCACTCGTCCACGTCCACGCAAACATCGCCCGCTGATTTGTAGCCGCGGCCGCATACGCAGCGGAAACTGGAAGATAGGATATAAATCAAAATTCAGGCTTCAAAAGAATAATTATAAGGAAGAAAAAAATCATACGATACTACGCAACAAATAAATTGCCCCCTAGACAAGTGGCACTTTTTGATCGCTCTTCACTACAAGTAAAACGCCGTAGCTAAGGTCTTTCGAAATAACTGTCTCATTTGTCCAGTGTCCACTTGTTGGGGGCTAGAGTCAAGACTGGTACATTATTTAGTTACTTTTAGTCCAAAGTAAATGGAAATAGAATAGTAGAGCTGATGGCTGTTGGGAAAGAAAAGTTCTTCAGTTGACATCCAAGAAAAGGTCATAAAAAATAAATTATCGCAACTCACCTGCCAATCGTGTTCACACATCTGCCCGGAGCGCAGAGTCCAGGCATGGCCGCACACTCGTCGACGTCTCCGAATATGTCCGGGAACCTGCCGTCCCCTCCGATGACTCCTCCGCCGTGTCCGCCTCCGATTTTGTGGTCGCTGCCGCCGCCGAAGCCGCCGCCGAAACTGCCGCCGCCGCCGCCGCTGCCGCCGCCTCCGCCGCCTCCGCCGAGGTTGGTGACCGTGCAGAGTTCAGCTCTCTCGGCAGTTCCGTGAGCGGGACACAGCTCGCATTCAGGACCCCAGGCCGCGCCGACAGTACAGCAACATTGAGCCCTTGAGAAAGTTTTTGGCGTCAGTCACTTAATAACTCAGAAAAGTGCTGTATTCTGACAGAATACGTCTGCCTTAGCATTTGTTACTATGGCACCAAAGCCGTAGCTCCACTGTGCGTCGAGTATTTGAGATTTAAAAGTCATCGACTATTCATACATTTTTTGTTCAAAATCAAAAGTGTCGGCCAATAAAAAAAAAGTGCTGTATTCTGACAGAATAAGTCCGCCTTAGCATTTGTTACTATGACACCAAAGCTGTAGCACCACTGTGCGTCGTAGTATTTAAGATCAAAGTCAGTCGTTTCATATATTTTTAGAACTTAAATACCACGATACACAGTGGTGCTACAGCTTTGGCGCCATAGTAATAAATGCTAAGGCGGACGTATTCTATCAGAATACAGCACTTTTATTTTTTGGCCGGCACTTTTGATTTTCGACCAAAATGGATGATGTCCTTTTGAATCAGAACCTTTTTTTTTGTTTCTTTATCCACAACGAGGAAGCTCTTGACCTGATGGTAAGTGACGATCAGGCCGAAGGTGGAAGCGAGCTTCACCCGGAATCCTCAACCACGGAGGAACTGGCTACCTTACCTCTAACTGCCGGAACACAACAATGCTGTTAACATTGTTGTTATGGCGACAGACTTAGGTAAGATGGTGGTAGCTAGCCATGCGGACTTAGAACAAGCCCTACCACCAACCAAATCGAACAGAAAAATCTGCCCCCAATGGGAATCGAACCCGGGACCTCTGCGTCTGAAGCAGGTGGTCTTACCACTAGACCACAAAGGCTTACTTAGTGACGTGTGCAGGTAGTGCTGGCGTAGATGACTCGATCCTCCTGGGCCACGGCTCTGGGGTGCAACGGCCGGAAACCAGCGAGCGGTGGCACATTCCCGTTCGATGATCTGAAAAGGATATCAGTATCTTTATTTGACTTGCCATGGAAAAATAAAGTTAGGTTGAGACTTAAATGTCCGGAAGAAGGCAGAGAAGGCAAATGGACTAAAAACGTCTGGAAGATTGAAATATTGAATTCGTTGCCTGCTGCTGTCTTTTCCGAAAACTATAATCCGGGCCTTTTCAAGGCGAGAGTGAATAGGCACTTACAGGGCAGAAATGTACCATCCTAGACTGCATCCCACTTAACATCAGGTGCGATTGTGGTCAAATACCTGCCTTGTTATGCATTAAAAAAATAGATTAACCTAGTACAACAAGCAGTGCTCTAACTTCTCTATGCAATCTTCGAAGTCTTCATACGAGTCAGAAGCGTTATTCGTGTGACGGTAGCTATTTATTGTACAGACGACAGCACATGACGCTGAACACTGCAGTATCTTATGGAGTGACAATAGATGCTATTTCCCAACGTACCGATGCAGGCCGTCCCGTCGTCGCTGGGCTCGAAGCCGGCGTCGCAGTCGCAGGCGAAGCCGCCGTCGGTGTTGATGCACACGCCGGGCGAGCAGCGCTCCGGCCGCTCGGCGCACTCGTCGATGTCCTCGCATGCGTCGGGCGCGTCGTGAGGCGCTGATGTGCGCCGGTAACCTGCGAGAGAAACATTAGGACATCAAGCAACGTCTTATTTTATGCCTATGAGCAACCATAGGCGTTTAACCAAGACATCGTCAAGACAAGAAATCAGATCAAGAGCGTTCAACCCTCAAACTGCGTCATGCGAACAAACAGCGTCGTGTCAGAAACTGGAGGTACCGAAGAGGACATCACTTCGCGCATTGCCAAGGCCAGAGCTACCTTCGCACAACTTCGCCCCATATGGCAGTCACGGAAATTGACCCGAAGGGTCAAGATCAAAATATTCGGGTCCAACGTTAAATCCGTTCTGCTCTATGGGTGTGAAACGTGGAAGGTCACCAAGGTTATCTCGCACCAGCTGCAGGGCTTCATCAACCGCTGCCTTCGCCGAATTCTCGGCATATACTGGCCCGAGAAAATCTCCAACGTCGAGCTATTGGAACGCTGCCACGAAATTCCGATCGACCAGCAGATCAAGCGCCGCAAGTGGAACTGGATTGGCCACACTCTCCAAAGGGACCCCGATCACATCCCTAAGCAGGCTCTGGATTGGAATCCCCAAGGAAAACGCAAACGTGGTCGACCCAGGCAAACTTGGCGGCGCACTGTAGCGGAAGAGGCGAAGAGGATCGGCAAGACCTGGAGCGAGATCAAGCGAGAAGCTCAAGACCGAACGAAAAGGAGGACTGTTGTGGACGCCCTCTGCCCCATCTAGGGGACATAGGACCATAAGTCAAGTCTTGACTCTGAGCTATCTTTGTTTACTGGTAACAAGTCAGCTGCTGTCAGCATTGCAGCTGATACCGCAGCAGAATAGCTGAGACTGAGTTTAATCATGTGCAGCGAAACGAGTTGTGTGCTTTGTGACAGATGAAATCACAATATGCGCAGATCTCATTCCCATCCATGCAAGTACCCAGGAACCAGCTTGACCACCAGTAACTAACCAGTTTTAGCCTTCAGGGTTAAGCTTTATTAAAACGGGTTCAAAGCTATAAGGATCTACTGAAGAAAGGTAATATTTGGAAGTTGTTTAGGTGTCAAAAGATGAATATTTGCGCCATCACTGACCTTCAGGGCACTTGCAGACGTAGGACCCAACAATATTTTCACACGCGTGCGGGCAGGGCGGGTCGGGCGCGGCGCACTCGTCGATGTCGCGGCAGTGCACGCCGTCAGCCGCCACCGTGTACCCGTACGGGCACGTGCAGCGGAACGAGCCCAGCGTGTTGTGGCAGCGGAACGAGCACGAGGCCCGGCCTTCTGCGCACTCGTCGATGTCCACGCATGTCTGTGAATGAAAGATTTGTCAGACTGCGTTGGGAGATATGAATTGTGGCTAAAGTTTTTGTTGTTTAGCACCAGCACTTCATAAGGTCACATCCAATATGACTGATCAACTAAAGAAGCAAAATTCAACATAGAAAAATATAGGGTTTGATGTAAGTGAGTACATTCAGATGATGTGGAGGGGGAGGAGATTAAAAGTGCAGTGCACTGCTAACGGACAACGATATATTTGTGTTTTGGCATTTGGCACTAGTGTGATAAAAAATCCACTAGCCAACGGCAACTTGGACAATATCGGTTCCTGTGAATCCTGTGACTGCGCTGCTAGTGCTAAATGCAAAAGATATTGGAGTCACTCCATCACCCTAGTAACTTGGAAAGCAACATAATCCAAAGGACTCACGTGCTCAGGTCCCTCCGTGAAGCCAAGGTTGCAAGTGCATTGGTATCCGCCGTCAGTATTGGTGCAGGTCCCGTTGCCACAAAACACACTCGTCGGCGTCGACGCACTTGCAGACGTAGGACCCGACGATATTCTCGCACGCGTGCGGGCAGGGCGGGTCGGGCGCGGCGCACTCGTCTATGTCCACGCATGTCTGTTAGTGAAGGATTTGAAGAAGAAGATGTTTCATCACTGACCTTCAGGGCACTTGCAGACGTAGGACCCGACGATATTCTCGCACGCGTGCTCGCGGCGCACTCGTCGATGTCCACGCATGTCTGTTAATGAAGGATTTGAAGAAGAAGATGTTTCGTCCCTGACCTTCAGGACACTTGCAGACGTACGAGCCGACGATATTCTCGCACGCGTGCGGGCAGGGCGGGTCGGGCGCGGCGCACTCGTCGATGTCCACGCATGTCTGTTAATGAAGGATTTAAAGAAGATGTTTCGTCACTGACCTTCAGGGCACTTGCAGACGTACGAGCCGACGATGTTCTCGCACGCGTGCTCGCGGCGCACTCGTCGATGTCCACGCATGTCTGTTAATGGAGGTTTTAAGAAGAAGATATTTCGTCACTGACCTTCAGGACACTTGCAGACGTACGAGCCGACGATATTCTCGCACGCGTGCGGGCAGGGCGGGTCGGGCGCGGCGCACTCGTCGATGTCGCGGCAGTGCACGCCGTCGGCCGCCACCGTGTACCCGTACGGGCACGTGCAGCGGAACGAGCCCAGCGTGTTGTGGCAGCGGAACGAGCACGAGGCCCGGCCTTCTGCGCACTCGTCGATGTCCACGCATGTCTGCGAATGAAAGATTTGTCAGACTAAAAAACTCAGTAAAACTCATTTATTTCTGTAAATAGGCTTATAAAAAGCACTTTTACACGTCCCAGTATTAACCCTACCACTGCTTCAGGACAATAAATAAATGGGCCAGTGCTGAGAAGAAGCAGCGCAAGAAACTCAGTCACTATTGTCAGCCTCTTTTGCAAAGGTTTACAGGCTTTCAAATGTACAAAGTTATAAATATTTATGCGAGCTAGGCAGTAACGCATCCCAAACATTTTTATCTTTTAAATAATCATCGACTTTATAGTAGCCCTTTTTCATTAAGGTACTTTTAATTATGTGCTTTGAATTTATGAATGGGTAGTTCTACAACAGTTTGTGGTAATTTGTTAAAGAATTTAATACATTTTCCCATAAATGAATTACCAATCTTAGGCACTATATGACTCTATTGGGAAATATGAATTGTGGCAAAAGTTTTTGTTGATTAGCACCAGCACTTCATAAGGTCACATCCAATATGACTGATCAACTAAAGAAGCAAAATTCAACATTGAAAAATATAGGGTTTGATGTAAGTGAGTACATTCAGATGATGTGGAGGGGGAGGAGATTAAAAGTGCAGTGCACTGCTAACGGACAACGATATATTTGTGTTTTGGCATTTGGCACTAGTGTGATAAAAAATCCACTAGCCAACGGCAACTTGGACAATATCGGTTCCTGTGAATCCTGTGACTGCGCTGCTAGTGCTAAATGCAAAAGATATTGGAGTCACTCCATCACCCTAGTAACTTGGAAAGCAACATAATCCAAAGGACTCACGTGATCAGGTCCCTCCGTGAAGCCAAGGTTGCAAGTGCATTGGTATCCGCCGTCAGCATTGGTGCAGGTCCCGTTGCCACAAAACAAACTCGTCGGCGTCGACGTAGGTCAGTGCGGCCGCGTCGAGAATGTAGCCGTCGGGGCACTCGCAGCGGAATGAGCCGTCCGTGCTCACGAGCAAAGGAGACAAGGTACCTAACCAACATTAATGGACTCACGTGTTCAGGTCCCTCCGTGAAGCCAAGGTTACACGTGCACTGATACCCTCAAAGTGTTGGTGCAGGTCCCGTTGGCGCGCACTCGTCGGCGTCGACGTAGGTCAGTGCGACCGCGTCGAGAATGTAGCCGTCGGCGCACTTGCAGCGGAACGAGCCATCCGTGCTCATGAGCAAAAGAGACAAGGTACCTAACCAACATTAATGGACTCACGTGTTCAGGTCCCTCCGTGAAGCCAAGGTTGCAGTGCACTGGTATCCACCATCAGTATTGGTGCAGGTCCCGTTGGCGCGCACTCGTCAGCGTCAACGAAAGTCAGCGCGGCCGCGTCGAGAATGTAGCCGTCGGCGCACTCGCAGCGGAAGGAACCATCCGTGTTTACGAGCGAAGGATACAACATAACAAACATAATTGACTCACGTGTTCAGGTCCCTCCGTGAAGCCAAGGTTGCAAGTGCACTGGTATCCGCCATCAGTATTAGTGCAGGTCCCGTTGCCGCAGATGCGCGGATCGAGCGCGCACTCGTCGGCGTCGACGCACGTCAGCGCGGCTGCGTCGAGAATGTAGCCGTCGGCGCACTCGCAGCTGAACGAGCCGTCCGTGCTCATGAGCAAAGGAGACAAGGTAAACAACATAATGGACTCACGTGTTCAGGCCCCTCCGTGAAGCCAAGGTTGCAAGTGCACTGGTATCCGCCATCAGTGTTGGAGCAGGTCCCGTTGCCACAGATGCGCGGGTCGAGCGCGCATTCGTCGGCGTCGACGCACGTCAGGGCGGCCGCGTCGAGAATGTAGCCGTCGGCGCACTCGCAGCGGAATGAGCCGTCCGTGCTCACGAGCAAAGGAGACAAGGTACCTAACCAACATTAATGGACTCACGTGTTCAGGTCCCTCCGTGAAGCCAAGGTTGCAAGTGCGCTGGTACCCTCCATCAGTATTAGTGCAGGTGCCGTTGCCACAAATGTAGCCATCGGCGCACTCGCAGCGGAACGAGCCGTCCTTATTCACGAGCAAAGGATACAGTATAACCAACACAATGGGCTCACGTGTCCAGGTCCCTCCGTGAAGCCAAGGTTGCAGTGCACTGGTATCCACCATCATTATTGGTGCAGGTCTCGTTGGCGCGCACTCGTCAGCGTCAACGAAAGTCAGCAAGGCCGCGTCAAGAATGTAGCTGTCGGGGCACTCACAGCTGAACGAGCCGTCCGTGCTCATGAGCAAAGGAGACAAGGTACCTAACCAACATTAATGGACTCACGTGCTCAGGTCCCTCCGTGAAGCCAAGGTTGCAAGTGCACTGGTATCCTCCATCAGTGTTAGTGGAGGTCCCGTTGCCACAAATGCGTGGGTCGAGCGCGCACTCGTTGGCGTCGACGCACGTCAGCGCGGCCGCGTCGAGAATGTAGCCGTCGGCGCACTCGCAGCGGAACGAGCCGTCCGTGCTCACGAGCAAAAGATACAAGGTAAACAACATAATGGACTCACGTGTTCAGGCCCCTCCGTGAAGCCAAGGTTGCAAGTACACTGGTATCCGCCATCAGTGTTGGTGCAGGTCCCGTTGCCACAAATGCGTGGGTCGAGCGCGCACTCGTCGGCGTCGACGCACGTCAGCGCGGCCGCGTCGAGAATGTAGCCGTCGGCGCACTCGCAGCGGAAAGAGCCGTCAGTATTCACGCAGCGACCGCCGCGGCACACGTCGGGACGCACTTTGCATTCGTCCAGATCCTGCAAATTAGGGTCATCATCATCAGGTCAATTAGTCTCCACTACAGGAGCACGACTCCCTCTAATTTTCCAGAGGCTAGAGGATTTAGCCTATACTCCTCATGTGCATTATGGTAGGCATAAAAACATCGACTTTATCATGATAAACACTCTCGGAGTTACAGTTTTAATAAGAACGATTTAATCTCAAGGAACAAACGGCTGAAAGCTGAACAGTCATACTTTTTGGAGAAATATACAGTGTGTCCGGGCTTGTAGTGATCAAACTTTAAGGGCGAAATCTTGGGACAATTTTATCGATAAAAGTACTTCAAATTTGGGACTTGACCCATTTATCGCAAAATTACAAGGATTTAAGTTTTTAATTTTTAGTTTTCACCTCTTCTTTCAAAAACAAGTGAAAGCGTGGGTAGCTTAAAATTAATAAGCAAATATTTTGTATCATGCGATAGCCAATAAAATTATCTATTAGTAGAACTCGAAAACTGACACAAGTTTCATGCATTTTATGGGAGTAAGAATGGATTTAATTAGAAAAATACATTATTTTTTTTCACTTCTTTTTCAGTTATTTTCCAACACAAGAAAAACCAGGTCGTCAAGGTATGTTTTATTTGCATTGTATTCTTAGTGTTTGAGCTATTCTACAAAACGAATGTAAATTTATTAGTCTACGTCTATTAGTTTCGACGTAATTGTTGAACAAAGATACCCCTTCCCAGCGGTTTCCATAGCGCACGCGGCATGCGAAAATGCACTGCCTGAAAGAATCACACAACCTATTCCGATTACATACTAGCCGCGCTGGGAAGGGGTATCTTTGTTCAACAATTACGTCGAAACTAATAGACGTAGACCAATAAATATACATTTGTTTTGTAGAATAGCTCAAATACTAATAATACAATGCAAATAAAACATACCTTGACGACCTGGTTTTTCTTGTGTTGGAAAATAACTGAAAAAGAAGTGAAAAAAATCATGTATTTTTCTAATTATGTAAATCCATTCTTACTCCCATAAAATGTATGAAACTTGTATCTGTTTTCTACTTCTACTAATACATAATGTTATTGGCTATCGCATGATATAAAATATTTGCTTATTAATGTTAAGCTACCCACGCTTTCACTTGTTTTTGAAGGAAGAGGTGAAAACTAAATATTAAAAACTTAAATCCTTGTAATTTTGCGATAAATGGGTCAAGTATTTTCGTCGATAAAATTGTCTTTAGATTACGCCCTTAAAGTTTGATCACTACATGCCCGGACACACTGTATATTTCAACGCACAATCATACGTATACGTATTCATTTACACCCATTACCAGAACGAAAATTTAAAATCGGATCATAAATCCCCAACATAAAAGGGAAGCTTAAAGAGGGCAAGGTATTTTATCTTTATTCATTAAAAACACACGACATTAAATTGGGACGCGCGCGCATTTCGCCGTCCCTTATTGAAAGCCTCTCGATCGGGACATATCCCTCCATTCCCTCCAAATGATTTCCTTTGAGCCTGGAATTACGGTTGTTCTGTCGACAGCGATACAGATGCTAATTAATGTCAATGAGCGTACCCGGAATCTCAACGCAGAATTTTCGGTAACTACTTATACTTAGTATGCGTATAATTTATGACTTTAGCGATAGCGTTAACCATCTTCAATCATTTCGTTATACCTAACATTCTAAAGGGCAGTTTAGTTAGTTTTGCTGGCGCGAGTCTAAGGCAGTTTAAAAGTGTTTATAAGTGCCACTTGTGGTCTAAGGGCTGATTTTTCAACAGTCAGATAACTTTTAACTGAAGAATAAGTTTGGCACATTGACAGTTTCAGTATGGGAAATATGTCAAAATGACAAGTTTATTCCTCAATTAAAAGTTATCCGACGATTGAAAAATCAGCCCTAAACTGAATAAATATTTTTGATTTTGATTTTTGATTTTGATTTTATTGTTAGGCATGAATCCTGAGCTTAGACAATGAATGAAAAATATTACCTGTGTCATATTAGGACGTCCCATGCCACCTTGGCAGATGCGCAGGAATTCCGGAGATTCCGGTGCAGGACAGCGCTCACAATAAGTACCCCAAGCAGCACCTAAAATTAAGTGTGTAGTTCAGGTACAAAATACTAAAGATAAGCCTGTTATTTAAATATAAAAGGTTTGACTAATAATATTGTTTGAAACACATTGCAATGTGTATGTCTTATGACTTGAGAATTGAAATGCTCCAAAGCAAAAGCGGCATGATGTGACACGATGCTGCTCCATGTATCCAGTTTCAAACTAGCATCTAGGCATAGCCAGAAAGTACAACAGCTTGTGTCACTCTCGTCCTCCTCAAATCATCGGATTGCGTTTCTCACTAACGTGTTGAGTGCGCCACAGACAGTCGCCAAACATGGACGTACCATCGCTTTGATGGAACTAAGTCAAACATCTGACCTAAAAACTGACTTGCCTAGGCCAGAAACTGGATAAGACTTATCCCCCTCCTAACATCGCCACATACCATTCTACCTACAATTTCCACCCTTGGATTTGACCCAGAGCATACGTACTGAAATTTGAACTCTATAGTAAGGGCATACGTACCTTCCGAGCAGCAGCACTCGGGTCGCGAGAGGCGCAGCGGGCGCGCGCGGTGGCAGCGGCCGCCACTCCACTCGTCGAAACACATCTCAGTGCGTTCATCTACGCACAGAGCAGCTGCTTTGTCAAAGCGCCAGCCCACGGGGCAGTCGCACACGTATCTGATATAAGATAAAACAACGTTTTATAAACAGACAAAAAAGAACAGCATTTCAACTGTGCTTTATGCTTCGTCGTTTCAGCCGAAAGACGTCCACTGCTGGACAAAGGCCTCTCCCCCAAGGATTTCCACAAAGACTGGTCCTGCGCCGCTCGCATCCAGGCACCTCCCGCGACCTTCACCAGATCGTCGGTCCACCTAGTGGGAGGCCTGCCCACGCTACGTCTTCCGGCTCGTGGTCGCCACTCAAGAACTTTCCTGCCCCAGCGGCCGTCAGCTCTCCGAGCTATGTGTCCCGCCTAATGCCACTTGATTTTAGCGGCTATGTCGGTCACTCTGGTTCTCCTACGGATCTCCTCATTTCTGATTCGATCACGCAGGAAAACTCCGAGCATAGCACGCTCCATCGCTCTTTAGCCTTCTTATGAGGCCCATAGTAAGCGACCACGTCTCAGATCCGTATACCATGATGCTTAAAGAACTTCAATGAGCATAAGTCATGACCTGCATGTCATATGCCTTGACACTGCCTTTCAATACGCCCCCTGCTGAGTGAAGGAACAGAACAGATGACTCACCCTCCGTTAAAGTTTCTGCACTCGCCACCGGCGCAGGCATACGGCACCTCTTTGCACTCATCTCTGTCCACACAGCGTCTTCCCACGAGACGCCAGCCCTCTCCACACGAGCATTCATATCTGAAAAGAAAATAAGTAAGCTATTTTTTGTATGGAATAAGGAACCGTTTTATTCTTCCAAGTTATTTTGAACCGTTTCAACAAACTGCTGCAAATGCAATCAAGACAGAGTTGACAAAAGTGTCCTAAGGATTGGCAACAGCGGAGCAGTCAGCAAATCAAATGCGTGAGAGCGTGCACCTGCATTGCACAGGCTACCAAGGTGCAGGCATAGTTCCAACTTTCCCTTCCCTTAGTAAGAGGTCGTTTCCAGTCGACCTCTTACTAAGGGCCCAGAAGAGTCCTTTGTTTAGACCGTAGCAGTTGCCTGGGGAATTACTGTCTATCTGGTATTCTTCGTGAAACTGACCCTCCATTGGTATTCGTACACGGACGGCGAGCCCTCGCGGTCGCACTCGCAGCGGAACGAGCCGACTGTGTTGCAGCATCTGTCTCCCTCGCACACTCACCCCCCGTTAGTGTTGGTGCAGGACGGCGAGCCCTCGCGGCCGCAGGGGTGCGGCTCCTCGGAGCACTCGTCCACGTCGCGGCAGTTGCGGCCGTCGCCCGTGAGCGCGTAGCCGCCGACTGTGACGCGACATCTGTCTCCCTCGCACACTCACCCTCCGTTAGTGTTGGTGCAGGACGGCGAGCCCTCGCGGCCGCAGGGGTGCGGCTCCTCGGAGCACTCGTCCACGTCGCGGCAGTTGCGGCTGTCACGCACTCGCAGCGGAACTAGCCGACTGTGTTGCAGCAACTGTCTCCCTCACACACTCACCCTCCGTTAGTGTTGGTGCAGGACGGCGAGCCCTCGCGGCCGCAGGGGTGCGGCTCCTCGGAGCACTCGTCCACGTCGCGGCAGTTGCGGCCGTCGCCCGTGAGCGCGTAGCCGGGCGCGCACTCGCAGCGAAACGAGCCGACTGTGTTGCGGCAGCGGCCGTTGCGGCACACCATGCCTCCTTCGCGGCACTCGTTGATGTCTGCAACGTCACACAAAGTACAAGGTGAAATCTCCTAATTTATCATCTAAATATCTATAACTATAACTGTCATTATCTTAAACGAGAGATTCTTGAAAAAAGATCCATTACCTACATCATAGCTTGGGGACAAGTATTAAGATTAAGAAAAACTCACGATAAAACGACTGACTATCAACCAGTTACTATTCAATGACTCTCAATATCCCACGTCATATCTAGCATCAGTCACGGAAGATTCAGTCTTCTGGTGAAATTACAAGAGAGTCTTACCAATACAGTCGTTGTTAGGGCCTGGCTTGAAGCCTTCATCACAGTGGCAAGCGTAGGATCCGGGCAGGTTCTCGCATGTGCCATTGCGGCACATGGGTCGTGGCCGTGCGCACTCATCTACGTCTCGACACGCGTTGTCGCGAAGCGTGTAGCCGGGCTGGCAGTCACATCTGGGGAAACATTTTTTATTTATTTTTTATTTATTTTATTTACAACGACAACAACACTACACTGTCATCACAGGACATCCCACATGTTATTGGTTATCTTTGAAAAGTCACATCTTCTCGTAGCTGCATCTTCTGTAGCATCTTACCATACCTACTATGGAATTGGTTCAACTGATAAAAAAAACGCAGCTATATTGGCAGCGTGGGACGTCCACCCACAAGGGTAGACCGACGACATCGTAAAGGTAGCAGGAAGGCGCTGGACGCAGGCCGCTATCAACCGGGCAGCATGGAAAGCATTGGGGGAGGCCTATGTTCAGCAGTGGACGTCCTATGGCTAAAATGATGATGATGATGATGATGATCAAAACGCAGTTATATTGGACTAGCTTTCCGCCCGCGGCTTCGCCCGCGTGGAATTTTGTCTGTCACAGAAAAACTTTATCGCGCGCGTCCCTGTTTCAAAAACCGGGATAAAAACTATCCTACGTTCTTTCCCGGGACTCAAACTATCTCTATGCCAAATTTCATCAAAATCGGTTGCGAGGTTTAAGCGGGAAAGCGTAACAGACAGACAGACAGAGTGTCGTGGCAGGTACCAGGCTTGCACAGCTGCGGCATGATATCACACTCGTCGATGGCACTCATCGATCGCACGGTGAATGTACCTAGGTACAGTCAGGGACACAGGTACGTACCCGTGGTCACAGCCGCAAGTGAAGCCAGTAGGCGTGTCGTGGCAGGTACCAGGCTTGCACAGCTGCGGCATGATGCCGCACTCGTTGATGGGCTTGGTCTCGTTGGTGACGGGGTTGCGGTAGAGGCCGGGCCGCGCGCCGCACAGCGCGGCGTAGGCGGGCTCGCTTGGAGCATGTACCTAGGTACAGTCAGTGACATAGGTAACGTACCCGTGGTCACAGCCGCAAGTGAACCCAGTAGGAGTGTCGTGGCAGGTGCCAGGCTTGCACAGCTGCGGCATGATGTCGCACTCGTTGATGGGCTTGGTCTCGTTGGTGACGGCAGCGCTCGCTTGGAGCATGTACCTAGGTGTAGGCAGGGACACAGGTACGTACCCGTGGTCACAGCCGCAAGTGAAGCCGGTGGGCGTGTCGTGGCAAGTACCAGGCTTGCACAGCTGCGGCATGATATCACACTCGTTGATGGGCTTGGTTTCGTTGGTGACGGCAGCGCTTGCTCGGAGCATGTACCTAGGTACAGTCAGTGACATAGGTAACGTACCCGTGGTCGCAGCCGCAAGTGAAGCCGGTGGGAGTGTCGTGGCAGGTACCAGGCTTGCAGAGCTGCGGCATGATGTCACACTCGTTGATGGGCTTGGTCTCGTTGGTGANTAACCGAACCGAACCGGCCGTGCCACCCGGCATGTGCGGATACGCCATAACTAAAGCCTAGTTATGGCGTATCCGCACATGCCGGGTGTAGTACATGTACTATGTACTAATAGGAAGCAATTCCTTTAATTAAGTGAACGAGAACGAACTATTCCGTCTTGGTCGTTCAAATCGGTCTTTTAGTTCACTTTGGTACAGCCGATCACTAATGAATAGGTGTGAACGAGACGTGAAATTGGTGAAAACCGCGCGCGAGCGAGATGGATTCGGCTCTGCGAGTGTGTAGCGAGTATTTTTCGATATTGGACCATAACTGCATATGAATAAAGACTTTTTTCGGTCGATCTACCTAATAGAATCAGTGTACTAAAATGTGCTAGTTAATAGTACTAGAAGACCGAACTAGTTCATTTGACCGATTTTCGGAGTTCGGAGCGANAACAGACAGACAGACAGACAGACAGACAGACAGACAGACAGACAGACAGACAGACAGACAGACAGACAGACAGACAGACAGACAGACAGACAGACAGACAGACAGACAGAGTTACTTCGCATTTATAATTAGTTGGGATTGGGATTTGGCACCTGTACGATCCAAGCGTGTTCTTGCAGTCGCCGTGCTCGCACAGGCGCTCGTCGTCGCACTCGTCGACGTCCTCGCACTCGTCGAGGCTGGGCGTGAGGCGGTAGCCGGGCGGGCAGCGGCACTCGTACGAGCCCGGCACGTTGGCGCACTGTGCCAATCCACGGCAACGCGCGCGGCCTAACGCGCACTCGTCCACGTCGCGGCACAGGTGCGACGTGTTGTCGTGCTCGTATCTGTAACAAGTTAGTTCCTTATTTAAACAGGGAAGGACGGGGCTAGAAGGGAAGAGGGAAATTTTGCTTTATATTTATGTGAGGTTGTGGTACGGGTACGTACCCGTGGTCACAGCCGCAAGTGAAGCCGGTGGGAGTATCGTGGCAGGTGCCAGGCTAGCAGAGCTGCGGCATGATGTCTCACTCGTTGATGGGCTTGGTCTCGTTGGTGACGGCAGCGCTCGCTCGGAGCATGTACCTAGGTGTATCAAGGAAGCAGGGACGTACCCATGGTCACAGCCGCAAGTGAATCCAGTGGGAGTGTCGTGGCAGGTGCCAGGCTTGCACAGCTGCGGCATGATGTCGCACTCGTTGATGGGCTTGGTCTCGTTGGTGACGGCAGCGCTTGCTCGGAGCATGTACCTAGGTGTAGGCAGGGACACAGATACGTACCCATGGTCGCAGCCGCAAGTGAAGCCGGTGGGCGTGTCGTGGCAGGTACCAGGCTTGCACAGCTGCGGCATGATATCACACTCGTCGATGGCACTCATCGATCGCACGGTGAATGTACCTAGGTACAGTCAGGGACACAGGTACGTACCCGTGGTCACAGCCGCAAGTGAAGCCAGTAGGCGTGTCGTGGCAGGTACCAGGCTTGCACAGCTGCGGCATGATGCCGCACTCGTTGATGGGCTTGGTCTCGTTGGTGACGGGGTTGCGGTAGAGGCCGGGCCGCGCGCCGCACAGCGCGGCGTAGGCGGGCTCGCTGGGCGCCGGACAGCGCTCGCACGGTGAATGTACCTAGGTACAGTCAGGGACACAGGTACGTACCCGTGGTCACAGCCGCAAGTGAAGCCAGTAGGCGTGTCGTGGCAGGTACCAGGCTTGCAGAGCTGCGGCATGATGTCGCACTCGTTGATGGGCTTGGTCTCGTTGGTGACGGGGTTGCGGTAGAGGCCGGGCCGCGCGCCGCACAGCGCGGCGTAGGCGGGCTCGCTGGGCGCCGGACAGCGCTCGCACGGAGCATGTACCTAGGTACAGTCAGGGACACAGGTACGTACCCGTGGTCACAGCCGCAGGTGAAGCCAGTAGGCGTGTCGTGGCAGGTGCCGGGCTTGCAGAGCTGCGGCATGATGTCGCACTCGTTGATGGGCTTGGTCTCGTTGGTGACNTGTATAAAACACCATGAAGGTGATGCCACGAAGGTGATGAAAATTTTAGTTTAAAAAAGTGAAAAATACATTTAGAGTTTTTTTTTGGTAAGTTCACCGACGGACTTATTCAAACTCTTGCTACTTTCTTGCTTTATCCACGAAACATCCCTATTTCTTCGAAATTATTATCTACAAACGGAAAATCTCTGCTACTACGCCGCAGTAAATTCCCCATCATAAATAAAAGGATTTTTTTTAAAACAAGCTCTTAATTTTGGTTTCATGACATGCTCCTAAAATTCATAACCTTATAAGAGGATTTCATCTGCGAAACTTTTTAATAATATAGGTACGTNCGGTAGGCGGGCTCACTCGGCGCCGGACAGCGCTCGCACGGTGAATGTACCTAGGTGTATCAGGGAAGCAGGGACGTACCCATGGTCGCAGCCGCAAGTGAAGCCGGTGGGAGTATCGTGGCAGGTGCCAGGCTTGCACAGCTGCGGCATGATGTCACACTCGTTGATGGGCTTGGTCTCGTTGGTGACGGCAGCGCTCGCTCGGAGCATGTACCTAGGTGTAGGCAGGGACACAGGTACGTACCCGTGGTCACAGCCGCAAGTGAACCCAGTAGGCGTGTCGTGGCAGGTACCAGGCTTGCAGAGCTGCGGCATGATGTCGCACTCGTTGATGGGCTTGATCTCGTTGGTGACGGCAGCGCTTGCTCGGAGCATGTACCTAGGTGTATCAGGGTAGCAGGTACGTACCCGTGGTCGCAGCCGCAAGTGAACCCAGTAGGCGTGTCGTGGCAGGTACCGGGCTTGCAGAGCTGCGGCATGATGTCGCACTCGTTGATGGGCTTGGTCTCGTTGGTGACGGGGTTGCGGTAGAGGCCGGGCCGCGCGCCGCACAGCGCGGCGTAGGCGGGCTCGCTGGGCGCCGGACAGCGCTCGCACGGAGCATGTACCTAAGAGTATCAGCGAAGTAAGGACGTACCTACCCATGGTCGCAGCCGCAGGTGAAGCCGGTGGGAGTATCGTGGCAGGTGCCAGGCTTGCACAGCTGCGGCATGATGTCACACTCGTTGATGGGCTTGGTTTCGTTGGTGACGGGGTTGCGGTAGAGGCCGGGGCGCGCGGCGTAGGCGGGCTCGCTCGGCGCCGGACAGCGCTCGCACGGAGCATGTACCTAGGTGTATCAAGGAAGCAGGGACGTACCCATGGTCACAGCCGCAAGTGAATCCAGTGGGAGTGTCGTGGCAGGTGCCAGGCTTGCACAGCTGCGGCATGATGTCGCACTCGTTGATGGGCTTGGTCTCGTTGGTGACGGCGTTGCGGTAGAGGCCGGGCCGCGCGCCGCACAGCGCGGCGTAGGCGGGCTCACTCGGCGCCGGACAGCGCTCGCACGGTGAATGTACCTAGGTGTATCAGGGAAGCAGGGACGTACCCGTGGTCACAGCCGCAAGTGAAGCCGGTGGGAGTATCGTGGCAGGTGCCAGGCTTGCACAGCTGCGGCATGATGTCACACTCGTTGATGGGCTTGGTCTCGTTGGTGACGGGGTTGCGGTAGAGGCCGGGCCGCGCGCCGCACAGCGCGGCGTAGGCGGGCTCACTCGGCGCCGGACAGCGCTCGCACGGTGAATGTACCTAGGTGTATCAGGGAAGCAGGGACGTACCCGTGGTCACAGCCGCAAGTGAAGCCGGTGGGAGTATCGTGGCAGGTTCCAGGCTTGCAGAGCTGCGGCATGATGTCGCACTCGTTGATAGGCTTGGTCTCGTTGGTGACGGGGTTGCGGTAGAGGCCGGGCCGCGCGCCGCACAGCGCGGCGTAGGCGGGCTCGCTGGGCGCCGGACAGCGCTCGCACGGAGCATGTACCTAAGAGTATCAGCGAAGTAAGGACGTACCCATGGTCGCAGCTGCAAGTGAAGCCGGTGGGCGTGTCGTGGCAGGTGCCAGGCTTGCACAGCTGCGGCATGATGTCGCACTCGTTGATGGGCTTGGTCTCGTTGGTGACGGGGTTGCGGTAGAGGCCGGGCCGCGCGCCGCACAGCGCGGCGTAGGCGGGCTCGCTGGGCGCCGGACAGCGCTCGCACGGAGCATGTACCTAAGAGTATCAGCGAAGTAAGGACGTACCCATGGTCGCAGCTGCAAGTGAAGCCGGTGGGCGTGTCGTGGCAGGTGCCAGGCTTGCACAGCTGCGGCATGATGTCGCACTCGTTGATGGGCTTGGTCTCGTTGGTGACGGGGTTGCGGTAGAGGCCGGGCCGCGCGCCGCACAGCGCGGCGTAGGCGGGCTCGCTGGGCGCGGGACAGCGCTCGCACGGCGCGCCCCACGCGCGGCCCACGGAGCAGCAGCACACGCGCCGCGTCTGCGCCGCGCCGGCCGCGTTCGAGCACTCGTTGTTGTCCGCGTCCCATTCTAGGTAGCATTGCCGTTGGCGCACGTCGACGCACTCCTCTGTAAAGGACAAAGATGAAGGTACAAAATATCATCTCTTGATTCCGTCGAAAGATCCAACAACGAAGTATGACTCCTGCATAGCAGTACAGTTTGACTACCAATTTAAGTTTTAGTAACTCAACAAGTTAAGTCCCAGTAAGTCCCAAATGCAAATAAAAATAAATTGCATCTTCATACCTATATTGTTTCAAACTTTCATGGTCAGAAACTTGCGGGTGAGATGTTATGGGCAGACATCTCACCTGCAAGTTTCTTCAGTTACTCCGTGACCATGGCGCTTGCAACAGTGCCGAAATATCGGAAACTCAAAATTAAGGTACATGGTAGAAATCCCGTCAGTAATAATAATTATGCATCTTCAATCTTCATGGTAGAGTAGAGGTGTTACTAGGCACTCACTGTTATTAGGCATGGGCACGTATCCCTCCGGGCACAGGCAGACGTAAGACCCGGGCAGGTTGCGGCAGATGCCCGGGCCGCAGACCCCGGGCACGGCGCACTCGTCGACGTCGACGCACTTGCGCTCGTCGTCGGTGAGCTGCCAGCCGTCGCCGCACGTGCACACGAACGAGCCGAACGTGTTTGTGCACGTGCCGTGCTCGCAAAGTGCTGGGTGCTGCTCGCACTCGTCGATGTCGGCCAGGGTTACCACGTATGACGGCTGAAATTGACATTTGGTACTTATATGTTAAATACCAAAGTAATGAACATAGACCAAGGATATAACGTATCAGTAGATCGGCAATATCAGTCGCAGAACCAACACAGCGTGTGGTTAGCGGCTCCGGAGGTCTCAGATAACATAGTAAGCATAGAAGACCTCAAGAAGATAGCTGGCAGTAGCTGCATGAGAAAAGAAGAATTATTTGACGCTCCTTGGGAAATCTTATGTCTCGAAGTAATCAGCAACTGGCTAATGATGGTGATAATGATAACTTAACTATTTTATTCCGCAAAGACTTTCAAAGATAAAAAAATGTGATAAAAAAAACATACCGGTTCAAGCACAGGTTGGTAGCCAGGTCCTCCAGGGCAAAGTTGTCTATAAGCTTCAGTTCCCGGCTCTGGGCAAAGGTCGCAGTAATTGCCCCATGCGACACCTGTAAAACATGAGCGTATATTCAGTCTCAGAATAAACTATTATCAAGGCAATCGTAGTTTAGCAAGCCCGACGGATTAGCAAGCTGAAGTGGCAATGGGCAGGGTACATAGTACGCAGAACTGACGGCCGATTGGGCAGCAAGGTTCTGGAATGGAGGCCGCGTACCGGGAATCGCAGCGTGGGACGTCCATCCACAACCTTTTGGATCAAAAGGTAGCAGGAAAGCGCTGGACCCAAACCGCTACCAATCAATCAAAATACTCGTAGTTTTGCCACAAGCATGAAGTATTGTCATTTGTCACTGACCGACGGAGCAGCAGCAGGCGGCCATGGTGCCGTCCTCGGACAGCTCGTCGCTGTCGTGGCAGTGCTCGGCGCCCGCGCGCACCTGCACCTCGCCGTAGCAGCGCGCCTTGCGCGAGTCTGCAATACAAGTTCTATTTATCTTCTGGCATTGTCTAGCCCTAGGCAGAGTAGAATACATTTGTCACCAACCCCTACTCTTCCCGCGGGTGTCGTAAGAGGCGACTTAGGGACTACACATCAAACAGAGAATGGGCAGCAGCGCTCTCTGAAAAACATCAATCTTTTAAACTGCGATCTCCAACCCGCCTGCCTAGCGTGGAGATTATGGCAAAACCCTCCACTATAGTGGAGGAGGCTCATAGTCCAGCAGTGGATTGTAAAGGGCTGTTGATGATTGTCTAGCTCAGAGGCAATGGGGAGACGCCCGTTGGGTCTTATAAAGAATCACAAAGTTACACAGCGTACTATGAAAATGGCTATAACCATTCTCTACGAGACCAAATCAGAAATAAGAAAATAATGTCAGCGATTTTAGTTCCTTTGAGGCGATGTACCAGAAAGCGCAGCGTGAGACAAGAAGGCGCTGGATGCAAGGCGCTACCAATGGGTCAATATGGAAATCATTGGGGGAGGCCTATATTCAGCAGTTAACATCCTGTGGCTGAAATAATGATGACGATGAAGCCTCCCCAACCAATTTAAATAGTGTACGAAAATTTGGACCAAATCCTCTATTCGCCTCTAGTACCCTTCATTAGAGAGGGTCGTGTTCGTGGAGACTAAATGAGCTGAAGACAAAAGTTACCAAAGCAGGCAGTGCCATCGGAGACGAGCTCGTAGTTTGGCGGGCAGCGGCAGACGTACGAGCCCTGCGTGTTGACGCACTCGCCGTACTGGCACGACTGCGGCGACTTGCACTCGTCTACGTCCGTGCAGTTGAAGCCCAGCATCACTGCAACGTTATTACATATGCGTATAAAGCCAGCTATGATGGACAGATAAGGGAAGATTTTTTTTTTCTGCCAAGTGTAAAAAAAGGTTAATTATAACAAATCATGCCTTCCTCATGTGCTCTTCCAAGTAATGTGGCGTTGAATCTATACTAATATTATAAATGCGAAAGTAACTCTGTCTGTCTGTCTGTCTGTCTTGCTTTCACGCCTAAACCACTGAACCTATTTTGATGAAATTTGGCATAGATATAACTTGAGTCCCGGGAAATGACATAGGATAGTTTTTATCCCGGTTTTTGAAACAGGGACGCGCGCGATAAAGTTTTTCTGTGACATACAAGATTCCACGCGGGTGAAGCCGCGGGCAAAAGATAGTACTAAATAAATTAATTCAAGTAAATCATTTTATTTACAAATTGTAAATGTATTGTTCAAAGCAAGCAAACAGATACGAAAGCTGACTGAACTACCTAAAAATTTCCAAAAACATACTGATACTTCTCCATAGACTTATATGATAGAGCAAGGAAAATCTTGATAAGGAGCAAGTTAACAATCATGAAAATAATAGAATGACTTTGGTGACGAAGACATTTAGAAAGGGCATTTGAAGGGTTAAACTTACATTCGTCGACGTTATCAGACTGGTAGCCTTTGTCGCAGATGCACTTGAACATGCCGTATGTGTTCACGCAGCGGCCGAATACGCATACGTTGTCGAAAGTCGCGCACTCGTCCATGTCTGTGAAAACCATTTATGTTTATTAGTCACCAAGCTTAGGCAAAGCGCTTTTTGAATGAAAGTTGTGTTTCTTGATTGCAAAATAAACATGTGGTAATGAGAGAAAGTCGCCATCTTGAGGACCGTTAGTGATGTCAAACCTTAAAATTCCACCATAGCCTTATGTCCGTTTTCACCATCAATCCCTAATTTTTAAGTGACCGCTATGGTAACACTTGCCACGAATTTAGATTTTATATGGGTCACTTAAAAATTAGGGGTGATGATGAAAACGGGCATTTTTGCCTTATCCTAAGATCCGTAAAAATATCTTTGAGAGTAGAATACAAGTCGTACCAAGACAGGCTCTCTCGTCGGGGGTCTTGGTGAAGCCGACGTCGCAGTCGCAGTAGTAGCCGCCGGGCGTGTTGGTGCAGTGCCCGTTCTCGCACAGCGTCGGGTCGTTGGCGCACTCGTCGATGTCCACGCACGAGTATCTGGACATAGACGTGATACACATCAAAAATCTTCACAGGTTAGTTCCTAGAGATGGGGGGAAGAGAAACACAAAGTTGCTGGTACTTTTAACGAGCTGTTCAAAATTAAAATTGCATCACGAGAGCGCTGTACTTAGTAGGTAACAACGTTTAGTCAGTGATAAGTGTATAGTCTGTCGATTACAACCTTTACAGGCCTTGCATCACATCTGCTCCTTTCGCTAAGTCGCAAGCAAGTAGGAGAACCTTTTCCACATCATCTCATTTCAGGATATCATGTCGACAACAGTGTTTGGAGGACGAATAACAACATACAAAGAGCAAATACTTGTGTCATACCCATCTCCTTTGTAGCCCGTGTCGCAGAGGCAGACGAAGGAGCCGTCAGTATTACGGCAGGTGGCGCGAGGGTGGCAGCCTCCATTGTTGGTGACGCACTCGTCCACATCCTCGCACTCTGTCCCGTCGCCGCGCCAGCCGTCGCGGCAGCGGCATTGGAAGGAGCCCTGGAACATATTACGGTCATTTACAATGCTGAAATGTCATTGAAAGAGGTAAAGGAAAGAAAAGATGGCCTAGGAAGAAATTGTTGCTTGAAATTTTGAAATAGAAGTGAAAGGCTGTGAAAAAAATATTCAAGGGCGTAAGGACAAGGTGCTCCCTTTTATCAGAACTGTAAAGGAGTAACGGAAAAAGATTCCTAATATTAGTTGTACAATTCGATTCGTAATGGTATCCAAAAACCTATCACCTTCATCTAGCGTTTGCTTAAATTAAATCCTCGTAAATCGTGCACTCGTCTGTATTGCTATTATGTTGTGTGGAACAAGTCCTCAGACTCACGGGCAAGTTGATGCAGTCGGCGGCAGGGTGGCAGTCGCAGGTGCCGAGCTCGCACTTGTCGTCGTCGGTGCAGGCGGGGCCCTGCTTGGGCTTCACGCTGTACCCGTCGGGGCAGCGGCACACGAAGCTGCAATCGTGTCGCGGCACAAGTACTCACGGGCAGGTTGATGCAGTCGGCGGCGGGGTGGCAGTCGCAGGTGCCGAGCTCGCACTCGTCGTCGTCGGTGCAGGCGGGGCCCTGCTCGGGCTTCACGCTGTACCCGTCGGGGCAGCGGCACACGAAGCTGCCGATCGTGTTGCGGCACTCGCCCGCGCCGCAGAGATCTGGCACCTGGAACATGAAAATAAGTTAGTTTTCACATTTATTGTGATTTCAGCCATTGGGCGTTGTTATCGTTATAAAAAAAATGAGATAATAAAGTTGGATCAACCCTGTTGATAGTAAAAAATCTCTCCAATAAAATAAGTCGTGTCATTGATGGTGAGAGCACCACAGAAGTTTGTTTATACAATACAGGGTGGATAAGCGATCTCACTCGATTATTTATAAACTACCTACAAGTTACCAAAAAACTAGTTACTGATCCTGAAAGTGCTTCATGAGTTCTTTCAAACAGTATCAATTATAGGTTAAAGAATAAACTGGTTCCATCCGAAAATTCAATGTTTCCAGCTTCCGCGCGTTTGAAAGAACTCGTGAAGCACTTACAGGATCAGTAACCAGTTTTAAGGAGAAACTGACTGACTGACTTACAGATCAACGCACAGCCTAAACGGCTAAACGTAGGCACTTGAAATTTGGAAGGGACGTAGCTTAGGTACCGTAGAGGTGCACTAAGAAAGGAATTCCCGAAATTCCCACGGGAACGGGCCCCTAAGGGGGTAAAACGGGATCCACGCGTACGAAGTCGCGGGCGGCCGCTAGTCTTGTACAGTTTAGAAATAATCGAGTGAGATCACTTATCGTTTTCACCCTGTATAGTATAATAGATAGAAACAATCGGTGTGAATACGTACGTCGGAGCACTCGTCGATGTCGATGCAGGTGGGCGCGGCGTTGTCAGGCGCCGGCAGCAGCCCGTCGGCGCAGGCGCAGGCGTAGGAGCCGGGCGTGTTGCGGCACTCGCCGCCGCCGCACGGCCGCGCGCCGCCCGCGCACTCGTCTACGTCGCGGCACGTGCGACCGTCAGCGCGCAGTTGCCAGCCCTCCCTAGGCACACCACTTTAGTTATGAACAGTCCCACATACAGGGTGACTTTTGTATCAGTATCCAAATTTTTTCCTGACATTAGGTATCGTTTATAGATGACATTTTTAATAAAAAATAGGTAGGTCAAATTTTAACATCAACTATTTTTTTCCTAACCAATTAATAACGTAGTGTGGTTACCGCGCTTAGCGCGTAAACATTTTGCGGGAGAGCGGGTCGAGCGGAGAGCTGGCAACGTGTGGCAACGCTCGACCGGCCGGCCTGGCCGCGCGGCGCTTCAATCAGNCCAAATGCAAATAAAAATAAATTACATCTTCATACCTATATTGTTTCAAACTTTCATGGTCAGAAACTTGCGGGTGAGATGTTATGGGCAGACATCTCACCTGCAAGTTTCTTCAGTTACTCCGTGACCATGGCGCTTGCAACAGTGCCGAAATATCGGAAACTCAAAATTAAGGTACATGGTAGAAATCCCGTCAGTAATAATAATTATGCATCTTCATGGTAGAGTAGAGGTGTGCACTCACTGTTATTAGGCATGGGCACGTATCCCTCCGGGCACAGGCAGACGTAAGACCCGGGCAGGTTGCGGCAGATGCCCGGGCCGCAGACCCCGGGCACGGCGCACTCGTCGACGTCGACGCACTTGCGCTCGTCGTCGGTCAGCTGCCAGCCGTCGCCGCACGTGCACACGAACGAGCCGAACGTGTTCGTGCACGTGCCGTGCTCGCAAAGTGCTGGATGCTGCTCGCACTCGTCGATGTCGGCTAGGGTTACCACGTATGAAGGCTGGAAGTGGAATTTGGTATATGAAGAAGAGGACAAAGTAATGGACAATGGACATAGACCAAAGATGTAGCAAGCTAAAGTAGTAGTGTATCAACCATATCAGTTGCAAAACCGACACAACGTGTGGTTAGCGGCTCCGGAGGTCTCGGATAACATGGTAAGCATAGAAGACATCAAGAAGATAGATGGCAGTAGCTGCATGAGAAAAGAAGATTTATTTGACACTCCTTGGGAAATCTTATGACTTGAAGTAATCAGCAACTGGCTAATGATGGTGATAATGATAACTTAACTATTTTATTCCACAAAGACTTTCAAAGATAAAAAAATGTGATAAAAAAAACATACCGGTTCAAGCACAGGTTGGTAGCCAGGTCCTCCAGGGCAAAGTTGTCTATAAGCTTCAGTTCCCGGCTCTGGGCAAAGGTCGCAGTAATTGCCCCATGCGACACCTGTAAAACATGAGCGTATATTCAGTCTCAGAATAAACTATTATCAAGGCAATCGTAGTTTAGCAAGCCCGACGGATTAGCAAGCTGAAGTGGCAATGGGCAGGGTACATAGTACGCAGAACTGACGGCCGATTGGGCAGCAAGGTTCTGGAATGGAGGCCGCGTACCGGGAATCGCAGCGTGGGACGTCCATCCACAACCTTGTGGATCAAAAGGTAGCAGGAAAGCGCTGGACCCAAACCGCTACCAATGAATCAAAATGGAAAACATTGCGGAAGGTCTATGTTCAGCAATGGACGTCCTATGGCTGAAATTATGATGATGATAATGATCGTAGTTTTGCCAAAAGCATGAAGTATCGTCACTGACCGACAGAGCAGCAGCAGGCGGCCATGGTGCCGTCCTCGGACAGCTCGTCGCTGTCGTGGCAGTGCTCGGCGCCCGCGCGCACCTGCACCTCGCCGTAGCAGCGCGCCTTGCGCGAGTCTGGAATAGAAGATGAAAAATTACAACTTTTATGGCAATTTTATTTATCTTCTGGCATTGCCTAGATCAGAAGGCATGAAGGACGCGCCCTTTGGGTCTTATAAAGAATCACAAAGTTACACAGCGTACTATGAAAATGGCTATAATCATTCTCTACGAGACCGAATCAGAAATAAGAAAATAATGTCAGCGATTTTAGTTCCTATACGGATAGTAAACGAACTACTAAAATCGCAGACATAGCCCGACGGATTAGCAAAGTGAAGTGGCAATGGTCAGGGCAGATAGTACGCATAACTGACGATTGATGAGGCAGCTTTGAGGCGATGTACCAGAAAGCGCAGCGTGAGACAAGAAGGCGCTGGATGCAAGGCGCTACCAATCGGTCAATATGGAAATCATTGGGGGAGGCCTATATTCAGCAGTTAACATCCTGTGGCTGAAATAATGATGACTATGAAGCCTCCCCAACCAATTTAAATAGTGTACGAAAATTTGGGCCAAATCCTCTATTCGCCTCTAGTACCCTTCATTAGAGACGATCGTGTTCATGGAGACTAAATGAGCTGAAGACGAAAGTTACCAAAGCAGGCAGTGCCGTCGGAGACGAGCTCGTAGTTGGGCGGGCAGCGGCAGACGTACGAGCCCTGCGTGTTGACGCACTCGCCGTACTGGCACGACTGCGGCGACTTGCACTCGTCCACGTCGGTGCAGTTGAAGCCCAGCATCACTGCAACGTAAATAAAATTATAACAGCTAAGTATGACGTAGCCCTTAATGACGCAGATAAGTGAAAAGCGGGGATGAAGAGCATAAATCAACAATCATGACAAGAGTGAAACACTTGACTTTCGAAGAATTTAGGAAGGGCGTGGAGGAAAACAATTTACAAACTTTATTTTCTCTTGTATCCCTGGTCCCAGCAGCAATCTGTAGGGAACTACAATAATCCAGTCACGGGTCTGTTTGCACTGTATATAAAAAAAATTGGCAAAAACTTACGTTCGTCAACGTTATCAGACTGGTACCCTTTGTCGCAGATGCATTTGAACATGCCGTACGTGTTCACGCAGCGGCCGAACACGCAAACGTTGTCGAAAGTCGCGCACTCGTCCATGTCTGTGAAAACCATTTATGTTTATTAGTCACCACGCTTAGGCAAAGCGCTTTTTGAATGAAAGTTGTGTTTATTGATTGTAAAATAAACATGTGGTAATGAAAGTCGCCATCTTGAAGACCGTTAGTGATGTCAAACCTTAAAATTCCACCATAGCCTTATGTCCGTTTTCACCATCAATCCCTAATTTTTAAGTGACCGCTATGGTAACACTTGCCACGAATTTAGTTTTTATATGGGTCACTTAAAAATTAGGTATTGATGGTGAAAACGGGCATTATTGCCTTATCCTAAGATCCGTAAAAATATATTTGAGTGTAGAATACAAAGCATACCAAGACAGGCCCTCTCGTCGGGCGTCTTGGTGAAGCCGACGTCGCAGTCGCAGTAGTAGCCACCGGGCGTGTTGGTGCAGTGCCCGTTCTCGCACAGCGTCGGGTCGTTGGCGCACTCGTCGATGTCCACGCACGAGTATCTGGACATAGACGTGATACACATCAAAAATCTTCACAGGTTAGTTCCTAGAGATGAGAGGAAGAGAAACACAAAGTTGCTGGTACTTATAAGGAGCTGTTCAGAATTAAAATTGCATCGCAAGAGTGCTGTACTTAGTAGGTAACAACGTTTAGTCAGTGCTTAGTGACTTTACAAGTCTTGCATCCCATCTGCTTCTATTGCTTAGTCGCAATCGAGTAAATGAAAAGGACCTGTGGCGACTATCCGCCACAATTATAACTTTGACACCCGCCTTAGATTTCACCGGGGATTTATATTTATCACAACCTTGGCGAGCAACATATCATTTCAAGATATATCATGTCGACAGCAGTGTTTGGAGGATGAATAAGAATATACAATGAGAAATACTCGTATCATACCCATCTCCTTTGTAGCCCGTGTCGCAGAGGCAGACGAAGGAGCCGTCAGTATTACGGCAGGTAGCCCGAGGGTGACAGCCTCCGTTGTTGGTCACACACTCGTCGACGTCCTCACATTCGGTTCCATCACCGCGCCAACCGTCGCGGCAGCGGCATTGGAAGGAGCCCTGGAACATTATTACGGCCATTTACAATGCTGAAATGTCATAGAAAGAGGTAGAGGAAAGAAAATCATGGACACGATGGCGTCGTACCCTTATCCCGACATTTGAGACATTTGAGCCCAGGGCGGCTGCCCGCGACGGAACACTTTCGTTTGAAACCGCGCAGGCGTCCGCTTAACACAGTTTCAAGCCTGCAAGAGCTCGATCCCCTCCAATTTACCAGAGGCAAATGAAGGACCTACAATCCCCACACTGACCAGACGGATTGGGGAGGGTGACTTTTGAATCTGAAGCTGCGATCGTGTCGCGGCACAAGTACTCACGGGCAGGTTGATGCAGTCGGCGGCGGGGTGGCAGTCGCAGGTGCCGAGCTCGCACTCGTCGTCGTCGGTGCAGGCGGGGCCCTGCTCGGGCTTCACGCTGTACCCGTCGGGGCAGCGGCACACGAAGCTGCCGATCGTGTTGCGGCACTCGCCCGCGCCGCAGAGATCCGGTACCTGATACCAGAATTACCCATGTAGAAATAATCGTCCTGATTTCAGCCAGGTTTTGATAATTGTAAATTATCATAAGCTAGGCAAGGCTAGTGCATTATACTCGTATTTATAACAGTCTGGGAGAAGTAGCTATGGTAGCAAACATCAATTTAATCATAGTGCCAGTGCCTACAAGGTAGTGATTACGGTCTACGGCAATGAGGGCTATCGTTTTAGCGCTCACCAGTTTGCGCCACTGGTAGAGTAAGGTCCTGTCACTTGCTAGTAGCGAAGACAGTGGCACCAACTGGTGAGTGCTAAAGTGGTAGGAGGACTATCGCATTTGCACTCATTAAGATGGCGCCACTGTAGAGTAAGGTCCTGTCACTTGCTAGTAGCGAAGACAGTGGCACCAACTGGTGAGTGCTTAGTGGTAGGAGGACTATCGCATTTGCACTCATCAAGATGGCGCCACTGTAGAGTAAGGTCCTGTCAATCGCCAGGGGTGCCAACTGTTAAGTATAAAAACGATAGCCCTCATTGGGAAATCTTAACCCTGTGGCATCTTAGCCTGATGAGCTTCCTTAAACTTCAAAGCTAATTTTCAGTGCAAGTAGTGAGGTTACGGTGTACGTACATCTGAGCACTCGTCGATGTCGATGCAGGTGGGCGGCGCGTTGTCGGGCGCCGGCAGCAGCCCGTCGGCGCAGGTGCAGGCGTAGGAGCCGGGCGTGTTGCGGCACTCGCCGCCGCCGCACGGCCGCGCGCCGCCCGCGCACTCGTCCACGTCGCGGCACGTGCGACCGTCAGCGCGCAGTTGCCAGCCCTCCCTAGGCACACCACTTTAGTTTAAGAGAATCACACATACATGGATATCAGTAATATCTACAGACATCATCATCATCATCATCATCTCAGCCATAGGACGTCCACTGCGAAACATAGGCCTCCCCCAATGCTTTCCATGTTGCCCGGTTGGTAGCGGCCTGCGTCTAGCGCCTTCCTACCTAGCGCTACCTTTATGATGTCGTCGGTCCACCTTGTGGGTGGACGTCCCACGCTACAGACATCACACGATGCCATATCGCTGCACAATGACTAGGTAATTCATTCGAGTGAAAGAGCCATACCATCTCCGGTTTAGAAGAGTCCCACTGTCAACAGACGTGAAAGGGTGCCGTCATTAGTTTGTCAGGGTTGTTGGCATGCCCACCGTGCCTGGTGCCTACTAATAGTGAATCCGCGCATGAAATACGCGTATTCTAGTATCAATGACTATGGTCATTAAACCTCGGATGTCGCGATGGAAGGGTAGGAACTTTTGCATACAACAACATCTAACTAAAGCCTTCTTCATCTGTCAGGCCAACGTATTTATGCACTTTGAAGTACTGAAACAGAGTAAAAGAGATCACTCACCTACAAGCGCAGTGGTAAGATCCAGGCGTGTTCACACACTCGTGTTGACACCGAGTGGGATCTTCCGAGCACTCGTCGATATCTTCGCAGTGAGACTTGACTGAGAGTTGCGCGTAGCCTTCGTCACAAACACACTGGTACGTTCCCATGAGATTCTCACACGCTCCGTTGCTGCAAATTCCTATACAAATTGGTTAATTATTTATTTGTCTACTAGTTGGTCTTACATATCGAAGATAGTATAGATAGTCGGAAAAATAGTTACCAGAAGTAATAGAACACTCGTCAATATCCTTGCAGGAGAGTCGGTCAGGTGAAAGTTCCATGCCAGGAGCGCATTCGCAGCGGAAAGACCCTGGGGTGTTGACGCAGCGGCCGCCGCGGCATAGCGATCGGTCTTCGAAACACTCATCGATATCTGGTGAAATCACCAAGGACATGGTTCAAAATCTACGTCGATAAATAGAGCAATTCAATTTAAGAATCTAAGGACTTATCGGCTTACCCACGCAAACCTTGGAGATCTCATCAGCTCTGTGGCCAGGGTGGCAATGACAGCTGAAGCTGCCTTCATTGTTGCGGCACTCACCAGCGCCGCACACATTCGACACTATCTCACACTCGTTTACATCTACACATGTGTGGTTCTTGGAATCCTGTAAAGATTAAAAAGGGTTGGTAACAAGTGACAGCCAAAAAACCCACACTTCCATTTAAATAAATCTTAAGTATACACATACATAAACAATACTTATGAAAATTAACAGAATTAATCGAGCAATACCTATTAAAACTATGATAGCTAGTATAGCTACAAAAGACTTATTTACCGGTTCATATCCTGGGAAACATTCGCACACGAAAGTGCCCATCATATTCTTGCATCTTCCATGACCACACAGTCCAGGGAAAGCAGAGCACTCGTTGACGTCCATCTCCTTGCCAATGAAGCTGGTGTCTCCATCAGAACCACCCGGCGGCCACCCGCCGTCCGGCCACACGCCGGGGCCGCCGCCGGGCCCGCCGCCGCCGTGCCCGTCGCCACCGGTGTGGCTCCAGATGCCGGTCATGTTGCCGCCGCCCTCGAATGGTCTGTCCCACACTCCGGTTGGGCCAGTCACGTCGCTCACCATACACAAGTTTCGGAATGCATCAGTACCTGATATCCACATTTTTAATTTCAATTATTAAGCATCAAAATTTCAAGATAAGGTATATTTTATCGAAAAGCAGACAGAAAGCTTTACCTTTCTTCGGGCAAGGCTCGCACCGCGAGTCTCCCCAAGCTTTACCAAGCGCAGAACAACAGCACACAGCTTTGAGCACCGCCTGCAACGGGCCCGTGCATCGTCCACCCATATACTCTGTGTAGCAAATCTCGTGGCGGGTGTCCACACATCTGTTACCTGTGAGAATTACAAGGGATTGAATTAATCTGTTGAAACGCATTTGCCCAATTTTTTTTTTTTACATTTGACTCACCGCTAGGGTCGAGCGTGAGGCCAGGTGGACACTCGCACCGGTAAGAGCCATCAGTGTTGACGCACCTCCCGCCCACACATAGGTCTGGATCCAGGGTACACTCATCTACGTCACGGCATGTGGAGCCATCAAGCTGAAAAAGACAAATTGTTTCCCTCACTTATCTTCAAATACTTCAAGATAGGTCTACCTATTTTCGTACACACTTTCAATTATGTAATATCAGCAGTTGATAAGCAGATGAAATAACAATTCGTTCGTTCGTTCGTTCGTTTCAGCCAAAGGATCCAGTCCTTTGGCTCAACCAAGGCCAACAAAGGCCTCCACCAAGGTTTTCCACAATGCACGGTCCTGCGCTGCCCGCATCCAGGCTCTTCCCGCGAGCTTTACCAGATCGTCGGTAACAATACCTTGGCAAATCCTTTGGGGCAAGGGCAGTGGTCTAGGTCGCAGGGCTCGCAGGGGGAGCCCCAGGCCAGGCCGACGCTGCAGCAGCACTCTTGCCGGAGTAATGGCCGCGGCGCTGCGGCCTCACATTGCCCGTCCACCACTCGACGCCAGCAAGAACCACGTCGGTTATCTGTAAAAGAACTTCAGTCAGGCTCTTCGTATAAGATATGACCAGCTGAACAGCTAAATCTATTCTGATGTAGATTTGACTGGCTACTGATAACTTTCAACTCCTGAAAACTTTCAACTCCAAAACTCTACAAAGCATTGAGGATGACGAAACAAATAGTTCTAGGGGGTTTTAGAACTCCCAAATTATTCAAAAGTACATAAGTGTCCGACGTCCACCCACAAGGTGGACCGACGACATCGTAAAGGTAGCAGGAAAGCGCTGGACGCAGGCCGCTACCAACAGGGTAACATGGAAAGCATTGGGGGAGGCCTATGTTCAGCAGTGGACGTCACCGATTGATGATGATGACATAAGTGGAAGAAGAGAAGAAGAATGTATCTTACCCAAACAATGTTGCCCGGTGGCGTCCAACACGAAGCCATGTTCGCACTCGCACTCGTAGCTGCCGTGGGTGTTGATGCACCGCCCGTTGTCGCACGGGTTGTTCAGCTCTGCAAGCACACACATCTTGTTCGACTACCCTCCGAAAGCGTACAGGAGGGACCAATAGATCTATTCAAAGACTACTCTACAAATGTTTTTTGGGAATAACGAATTCTTCATTGGAGAAAATTCAAAGTATCTTATTTAAATTAAGCAAATTAAATAATGTTAAATATCAGTAATTCATTACAAATCATAATGAAAAATAAGCAGTGCAATGAGACGATTGCGTGTACCATAAAATTAAGATTATGCGTTTTTAATTAAGTAATCAAGTAGGTATTTAATACAGCCTGTTTAATAGCAGCATCGGATGTCTATGACCCAGCTGTCAGCGTGTTACATGACGCTTTGCTTGTAGTGATGCCGCACCTTTGATAGCATCAATATCGATAGTTGGGTATTTCTCATCGCCACGGTTCTCATCGTCACCTTCGTGGCGAATTTTATTTCTAACTTATTTCAACTTTTTGTAAACAAAAATTGTAGCGCATGATGTGAAGATTGTATTCTCAGTAAATCAGTCAAATAGTGAGTCTCGTTTGGAAGATTTAACATTTTGAATTTTTTGATGCCACGAAAGTGATTCTGTACTTCACAGCAATAATTTTTTCAAACTTTACTACTGTAAATGACTCTTAAGTGTTTATGAAACATATATTTTGTCTTATTTTCATAGATAAATAGCAATAACATAATATAAATAGGTACCTACTTAAATACAAGATAAAATTTTACCGATTAGGTTACCTACTAAGTTANATACCTACTTTACATGGCTTCCTTCAGTAGGCTATCCGACATGATAAGCGAGCGATCCGCGTAGCTCGATGGTGCCGCAGTATAAACTATTGCAGTATTGCGAGCCATAGACAGCTGATTTCGCAAGGAAAATATTCGCTAAAAATTCCACTTTCGTTTGTATTTTTTTTTTGTGGATAATGCGTTTATACATAAGTCATAATAGATCACCTAAATAAGTATGGCGAGGATTGAAATCAACACCCTGTATAACCAGCTGAACAGTTTCGGCAAATATCATAACTTAGGCAGCTTAAAGCAGAGCTAAATCTATCCTGATGTAGATTTGACTGGCTACCTACAAATTAAGATAACTTTCAACTGCAAGACTCTACAAAGCATTGAGGATGTCGAAACAAATAGTTCTAGGGGGCTGTAGAACTCCCAAATTATTCAGAAGTACTCACATAAGTTGAAGAAGAGTTAAATATATCTTACCCAAACAATGTTGCGCGGTGGCATCCAACACGAAGCCATGTTCGCACTCGCACTCGTAGCTGCCGTGGGTGTTGATGCAGCGCCCGTTGTCGCACGGGTTGTTCAGCTCTGCAAGCACACACATCTTGTTCGACTACCCTCCGAAAGCGTACAGGAGGGACCAATAGATCTATTCAAAGACTACCCTACAAATGTTTTTTGGGAATAACGAATTCTTCATTGGAGAAAATTCAAAGTATCTTATTTAAATTAAGCAAATTAAATAATGTTAAATATCAGTAATTCATTACAAATCATAATGAAAAATAAGCAGTGCAATGAGACGATTGCGTGTACCATAAAATTAAGATTATGCGTTTTTAAGTAATCAAGTAGGTATTTAATACAGCCTGTTTAATAGCAGCATCGGATGTCTATGACCCAGCTGTCAGCGTGTTACATGACGCTTTGCTTGTAGTGATGCCGCACCATTGATAGCATCAATATCGATAGTTGCTTCCAAACTAAACTAAAAAGGTAAATTATTCGTTGTGTTATAGTCTGGTCCGTGAGCACGTAGAATTTTGTCCAATGACTCCAAGCTACCCATCCTTATCGCTCGCGCGTAATTATGTTGCTATCGCGCTCGCAAACTCACTGCGGGTGCCAGTCGCACAGTCGCGACAGCAATATAATTACGCGCGAGCGATAAGGATGGGTAGCTAGGGGTCATTGGACAAAATTCTACGTGCTCACGGACCAGGCTTTAGACGATCAACTATCGATATCGGCTACCGGCCGGCACCACCATAGCGTAATGGTCCTCGATGTTAGAAGGCTCATGAGGGTCAGTGGTCAGCGATGCTGTAGTCAAGTGGTAACCTGTGACGGGGAAGGCGGGGGGGATGTCCCCGCGCTCATAGTCGGAGACCAGGAAAGTGAGCTCACCCTCGCACTCGTCGATGTCGCGGCACAGCTGCTCGTCGGGCTCGTAGCGCGTGCCCGGCGGGCACACGCACGTGAAGCTGCCTGGCGTGTTGCGGCACTGCCCGCCTGTGCAATACTGGAACGCAAACACAGGTTCTAGTAGATAAAATGCCGCCTAGCCTGTGCAAAGATCGATTCAGTGAAGCGACGAATCAACGACCGTAGTATACTGTATCCTCAGACAGTCTGCTTTAACTCCGAGATATGCCCAGTTTTTAAAAGACTGTCACATCATCTACGTAAATTACACTTCGGGAATTTAATTTTGAGGAAAATAGTAATTTAACTCAAATCCCATAATCTTAAGTAACATTTTATAGTTCAGCGGTTCCCAAACTTCTTTTGTCTACTGCCCACTTTGAGAATAAATTCTTTTGAGCGCCCCCATTAAATTTCAAGAGTCAAATGCTCAGTCGGTGTCTAAGAGACCTCCTAAGTAGATGAAATTACAAATGGCCTACCAAGCCTCTACACAATGCCCCGATTTTTTTCCGTGGTCTCTTACCGCCCCCCTTTAACCCTGCAGCGCCCACAAGGGGGCGTTATAGCCCACTTTGGGAAAGACTGTATAGTTGCACAAAACTTACTGATTGATGCATATCGCACTCGTCAATGTCCCGACAGATGCTATCCACATCAGGGTGGAAGCCAGGGTCACAAATACATCTGTATCCCGGTTCCAGGTTTTCACAGGTCCCGTGCTGGCAGATGCCTGGGATCACTGTGCACTCGTTAATGTCTGCTCCGCTGTTGTCTTTGCTGGCACCCGAGGGGCAGAGGACCTCGTAGTCCTTGGTACCATTCTTCGGACATGGTTTGCAGGATACTCCCCAACCCAATCTTAATCCTAAAATAACAAAAGAATGTGAGTCAATCCGAATATTTCTTGAAGATATTAGTAAACCATAGAAGATGTCTTACCTTTACTTGCACTACAACAACACTGCGACCTGGTTACAGGACTGGAACCAGGACCAGAGCATTGGCCTTCTTCATATTTCTCGTAACACAAATCTTGGACTTCATCTGAAAATCACAACCAGAAGAACCACGCTTTAGCCAGAACTTTTGGATGAATATTATGACCTGGGCCTTTTAAAAGGCAAAAGTTTATAAGCACTTTAGGCAAAAAACTAAAAATCTTCTGATCTTCATCATCATTATCATTTCTCGGATGAAGTGTCCAAAAGCTCGAACTCTTGCTTTTTTTATCCAAATACCGCTGCATTTACCTTCAGGTCTTCGGTATATCCAGCATCTCTGCTCATCACGTATCGTAAGAACATGGCATATTTCGCCTATTATAGTGAAGGAACAGAACTAACCTAAGCAAGTCCTCCCATCAGCACTAAGCGTGAACCCAGGCAGGCACTCGCATCTGAACGAGCCGGCGGTGTTGTGGCAGTGGCCGTTGCGGCACACGCGCTGCTCGGCGCACTCGTCCACGTCGGTGCAGGCGCCGCGCCCAGCTGTCGGCCGGTAGCCCGCCTCGCACACGCATTGGAACGAGCCTTCCAGGTTCACGCAGCGCCCGCCCTGTAGAGAAAACAACACATTACATCATAATATTCCGTAAAAGAGAAATAAAGAGAGGAGAGAGAGAATAATGACCGTTTTCACCATCAATCCCTTATTTTAAGTGACCCCTAAAAAACAAAATTCCTGTTATGTGTTACCATATGGGTCACAAAATTAGGGATTGATGGTGAAAACGGGCATAAAGCTGTTATGCTTACGAATAAAATTTAAGGGTAGGCATTCCTTTAGGTGCCTGCCAAATACAGAACATGATAATGCGATTAATAATACCCTCACCAAAAAACCATGAATCTATAATATGAAGTCGATATCAATTAAATTACAGCATGATCTAGAAGTGGCTGATGCTGTAGTTGGAGAGAAATAAATTAGTCCGACCAGCAATTATATATCTGTGGTAACAGGCACCAAGATTCGTTGAGCAGATGCGTCATCGCACTCTGCGTAATGGCACTCACTTGGTTGTCACACAGAGCACAACACAGAGTGTGTTGCAGTAGGGGCCGTGGCAATCATCTGAGCCACTGCATCTCACCTGGCACACATACTTGTCTGAGCCACTGCATGTGCCACTCACCTGGCACACGGACTTGTCGCTGCACTCGTCGATGTCGCTGCAGTAGCCGCCCAGCACGAACTGGAAGCCGGCGTCGCACTGGCAGTCGTAGCTGCCGGGCGTGTTGCGGCAGCGGCCGCGGCGGCACACGTTGGGCGTATCGCGGCACTCGTCCACGTCGCGGCACGCGTTGCCGGTCTCCGTCGACTCGTAGCCGGCGTTGCAAACACATTCGTAGGTGCTGTAGAAGACATGGGAATCAAAATAAAGACGAGAGCCGGCTTAGACACTGCTGATTCGTAGAACATTTGAAAAGTTAGGTTTGACAAACGTCAAAAATCTGTCAAGTCCATACAAAATATACCGGTTATCGTAATGGTGCGTCCACACAACGGGCTCGCGCGGCACGCTGGTCATCCTGCTCTTGAGTGAGCAGGATGTCGAGTTTGCCGCGTGAGCCCGTTCGCCCAGTGTGGACGCACCATTATAGTTACGATCAAAGTAAGGTGGTGCAAATCAGCCTTCTAGTCAATTGCCTAATTCACTGAGTTTTAGTCTATTTTTTGGATGATGATCTCCTTTTTATGAGGACTTACCCAGGTCCAATGCTTCTGCATATGCCATTGGTGCACATGGCTCCGTTTGTCATTTCGCATTCGTTTTGGTCACTGCACCGCCTGTTGTTGTCTACAGGATCGAAGCCTGGTGGACATCTGAAAACAATCAAAATTAAAACTTAAAACATTGAAACCTGGACCTTACTTTCAACAAGTTAGTTCAGACAACAAGCTGCAAAAGAGCCAAAATCCTGAGAGTAATATTTAGATGGGAAAATATCTAAGTACCTGCATTCAAAGGAGCCAGGGTTGTTGATACAAGTGCCGCCCTTGCAGTAGCCGAGCGCGCACTCGTCGATGTCAATACAGATCGGGTTGCCATCCTGTACTGTCTCTTCCGCGCCATCCCAGCAGTTACATGAATATCTGGAGGCATGAAGAGTTGAGAAAAAGAAATTAAATAAATTCTTGGCATCAACATTGGCATCAGTATCGACATGCTTAAGCGAGCGACATTGTCATCGTAATGACAGAAGTATGCAAACTTATTTCAAACAAATAAAAAAAAGAAAAGAAAGTTAAAGACCAGAACAAATTAAGACAAATGATCATCATAATATTGTTTTAAACTTTCATGATCACTAACAAAATTATTATTACCGACGGGATTGCTTGATTATTACTCCGTGATCATGGCGCTTGCAACAGTGCCGAAATATCGGAAACTCAAAATTAAGTTACATGGTAGCAATCCCGTCAGTAATAAATGATCATCAGATCGTCGAGGATGTCAATAAGTGATTAACTGTGATTAACTGTGATTAACTGTGATTAACTGTGATTAACTGTGATTAACTGTGATTAACTGTGATTAACTGTGATTAACTGTGATTAACTGTGATTAACTGAGATTAACTGTGATTAACTGTGATTAACTGTGATTAACTGTGATTAACTGTAATTAATTATGATGAACTTATTCTTACCCAACATCCTTATCAACACACTCTCCCAGGCCGCAAATTCCGCTCCTCAGCATACACTCGTTGATCTTGGGGTACACGGCGATGGACTTGGCCTCGAAGTCGTCGTCCGGCCCGAGCCCGCCGCCGCCGATGCCGCCGCCGCCGCCGGTAGTGTTGCGGTGCCAGTAGGGAGGCACGCCGCCGCCGCCGCAGAGGTGGATCCATTCCACTGCATTAGGTAAAAGATACTGTCACCGAAATTCGGATACTTTGAAAAGCCTCTAGCCTCTACTTTTGGTAGCGTTCTTTTCCACGTAGGTAAGTCAGAGACTCATCAAAATTAATAGGCATTCACTAAAGTATTAATGAGCTGTAGTCTGTATCAGAAATTATCATTTTCACGAAACATACACGAAACAAAAGTGATGAAAATTCCACCTATGCCATTTTACACAAAAAGTTCCGATAAAAATATCTCAAGAATAAAAGAAATCATAACACGTATAATAGTGTAGGTATCTCACCAGCTCCTCTGGGAGGGCAGGGTGTGCAAAGATCACCCCAAGCTCGACCCATGTTGAAACCACAACAGCAGTCGCGGTTCGACAGCTGCACTGGCAGCCTTTCCGCACATTCTCCCGTCTCGCCCAAGTACGCGAAGCAACTGCTCACACGGCCGTCTGCAGAAGGTAACCAAAGTTAGATAACGGTTAAGTAAAACACCATATTCTAATGGTAAATATTTGTATTGGTACCTAACCCATTGGAGTAAAAATACGTACCGATACAAAACTTCTTGTCTGGACTAGGAATGAAGTGAGGATTGCAAAGACAGTAATAATCGCCTTCCGTATTCACGCATTTGCCGTTCTGCAACAAAATACCATGTGAAATCATGCGGGATTATTAGAAAAAAAATAATCATCACCACCTGTCAAAATAGCTAGACTGCCACCAGCAAGATGTGATAAAACAAATTGAAGGAAAATAGGTTTTTCCAGCCAAAGGGGACAGTTGGGGTTGTAGTACCATCATGCTGTGCATCATGTGTAGCAATCTGGAAATCATTGTGATTGTTCAGCAGTGGACTGGTCATTCTGTGGCTACCATCATGTAAGGTCTTAGAAAAGTAAATAGTTTGAGTGATATAGCAATACAGGTGCAATGTGTTGATAGAGCTCATCAAACTCACGGGGCAGATGTCAGGGTCCTCGCACTCGTCGATGTCCTCGCAATTGTTGGTGACGCGGTGGCGGCGCTGGCCGGGCGGGCACTCGCACGAGAACGAACCGATACTGTTCACGCACTTGCCGCCGCTGCATAGCCCTGGGACTGCTGCGCACTCGTCGATGTCCTGGAATGTACCAGGAGTTTAGCCTACGTGAGCTGCTTACGTGATAAAGCCTGCACACTTAAAATTTCAAGCCTATAAAAACTTCAGTCCACATAACTCTTTTTACACGCAACTTTTCTGGTGGAAAACTGGCAGTGGTCCCCCATCCTGCTCTATCAAGATTAAAGATAAAAACTGAGAGAAGCATACTCTATAATGCCTTCTACTGGGGTAATCTCTGCGTTTTATTTTGACGCGGAGCTGAAACTGGTTCTGACGCGTTATTTTCTAAGGTGGATATACCTACCTTTCAAGAAAACAAAACACTAATCAGAGAACCAAGAAAAGGGACCATAGGTGCGAATAACTCCACTGACCATCTTCATGCACAAACCATCTAAAGATCTAAATGCACACCTAAATCATGAACCACCAAAGAAAACCTGTGTACTATCACACCGAAGCCTCTCACCTGGCACTCCTTAGTGGCGAGATTCCTCAGATGTCCAGTGGGGCAGTCAAGGTCTCCGCAGCGCTCACAAGGGTGCCCCCAGGCTACGCCCACGGTGGCGCAACACAGCTGTTTGGTGCACACCACTCCTTCTAGCGCTCCGGTGCATAGGGCTCCGCGGGTGTCGGTGTAGCAGGGCCCTGAAATAAGACGACTCTTGATGACGACAATAGGTTATAATAGATTTTGTTAAAAAGCTTCTTACTTACTGAAGCGTTAAACACAAAATTTTGATTTGTTCGATAAATGAAAATATTCTACTGCCATAAAAGTAAGTCGATGAGTAAGTAGAGATGATTATTTGGTTAATGGTGAGGCGTTAACGGATTTAACACCTCTCGAAGGTCGATTGCTTTGAAAAGTTACCAACACTTTTTGCTTTATTTTGCGGTATCATAAATGATGATTATTATGGTTAGTTGTTTATTCAACTGCCAAAAGAAGACGCATGTCGCCTAATGAAAACTGTTTTAGTTTAGTTCCATCAAACTCCTTACCTTCCTTACTAGACTTATTTTTTAGATAAATGAATAAAACAGATTCGCATATTATGTGTATCGCGGTGATAAATAAATTGCCTTACCAGTCCTTCTATCGATTTCACAACGTGTCCCAGACAGGCCGTGGAAGCAGACGCAGCGGTCGGGCGCGATACAGCGCCCTCCATGTAGGCACGGCTCGCGGCAGATAGCTGAAGGAAAGAATATTACGGTTTAGTCAAATAAAAATATACTCAACTGCACAAAAACATACATATAATGAAATGAAATAGTTTATACAGTACATGGCCCTTTCCAGGGCACTTATACACGTCTCAAATATAGCTTGCCCTACCACCATTTCGGGACAACATATTATGGGCTACTGAGAAGAAGAAACTCAGTCACTGTTGTCTATAGTAAAACAGTAACGTATACAATATGCTCACACTGATCTGCTATAGTTTAAAGTGGGAAGGACACTTATTGCACCCCCAGTCAGCGCACGAGTAGCCGAGTAATTACAGCTCGAAGTTTATACTGTGGTGCTACTGCCGTCTGCCAGTCTGCTGACTGCTGCTAAAGCAACACAGCCGAAACTTAACGTAATTTTATGAAACACGTGTTCGGATTAGCAAGCTGAAGTGGCAATGGGCAGGGCCCATAGTACGCAGAACTGACGGCCGATGGGGCAGCAAGGTTCTAGAGTGGAGGCCGCGTACTGGAAAACGCAGCGTGAGACGTCCACCCACAAGGTGAACTGATGACACGACATCATAAAGGTAGCAGAAAGGCTCTGGACGCAGGCCGCTACCAATCGATCAACATGGAAATCATTGGGGGAAGCCTATGTTCAGCAGTGGACGTCCTATGGCTGAAATGATGATGATGCTGATGACGTATCCGTTATGAGCAATGACCACTTTGATAATGATTCATCACTTACGGTCGGTACAGAACTCGCCGCTCCAGCCGGGCGCGCAGGCGCAGGTGCCGTTGGTGCACGTCCCGCCGTTCATGCAGATGCGCCGGCAGCCGCCGCGCGTGCGCGCTGCAAGACAAACCAAACTAGAACTAATTGCAGACAAATAAGTACAATCTCCAATGCACCTATTGAAGTAATATTACTATGTAGTACATTATAACTCAATGAATGCACCATAAGGTCTCCAAAAAGTCTACATTCTAAAATCGACATAATACAAGACGTTGACTACCACTTTTGAGACCATATTGCGCGTAAGAGGACATAATAGCTTTCGCACCATGTTGGGCGCCAAATAAGAAAAAATTACTCCTGTATGAAAATGTTCTAAAGCAGACATCTCACTATGATTTAATCTTTAGAACAACAGAGCAATTGAGTCACTCTTTTCTGAATACAGTCATGCCATAAAGGCACAAACACAAGACTGCATTAAAATTGTGGATTCAATCTTAAAGTTCAAACATTATAAATGTCTCGTGGGTATGCAACTATTTCCTTCTCTTTTTGCCACCGCCCTAACTCTGAACTGCCAATGGAGTCCCAGAGGATAATTAATGGTAAGAGCGTATTACACTTGAAAATTTCGATGGGTTTATCTAGTGTCTAAGTAGCTCAGTTGGAAGAGCAGTCGCCCGGCAAGCGAAAGGTCCGTGGGTTTAATTCCCGCCTTAGGCAGTTAGATTTTTTCAAGTTATTTTAAAGATAAATAATCTTTTTTTTTTCTGAAGGGACGCGCTTTTTGCTTGAGGAGCTTTTCCAGCTTCACCGGGCAGAGTGGCGAGTACAGAAGGTACTTATCCTAGGTAGCTTAGGTAAGGTATCGGGCCGTATCGAGCGCATAAGCGCCCGATCAGTGGCGAACCCAACTAGAAGGTTGCCCAACGCGGTGTTGGACCAGAGTCCAGCCTACGGTGGGCTCACTCTAGTGGGCCCGATCGAGGGGACTACGGACGCGGCCTGAGGGCGCCACGATAGGCTCGGACCTCGGATCCGCAAAGTTATACTTATACTAACGTGGGTAAGGATAGAGTCCCCCGTTGGCGCAAGAGGGCGCCTCCACGCCGCCCGGGCAGCGGCACATGTTGGGCGCCACGCACGAGCCCGGCCCGGGCCCGCAGTCCGGCCGGCAGATGGCTACAAAATTAAAACAAACCGGGTAAAATATGGAAATACTAAAAAGGAAACTAGCTATTTATGCCTCGTTTATTATATCCGTTCTAAAGTACGGCCAACAAGAAGCGATACCAAATGTAAACAAACCTAATGAATAGCAGGGGTTTGACTTTGACATATTTTGGCGGGAGAACGAGATATTACGACAAATACACAAGATGGGAAGAAACAGAATAGATTGTCAGTTCGACAGTCGAATCGACCTTTTGTATCGCTGCTAGTTGGCCGTACTTAGNGTACTAGTACATAACTATTACTACTTACGGACAACACAAAGAAGCGAATTTGGCCTGGAAGTCCATCCTGGACAGCAATGCGTGCTGTTGCGACTCCGGCAGACGTGTGGCCTGAAATAACAACAATGTTATAAGTTATGTAGGTTTGTTACATGCAGCTTTACCTATTAAATTAAAAGATAATGTTATAAATTTTAATTTTTATCGCTTATCAGTTCGGCCGCTTTATAAAACTCATAAACCACTATCCCGTCATCTAAATATACAGTGTAGAGGTACTTGTCTAACAGGCTTTATTATTACTAACTGTAATAAATAAGTCCGCTTAAAAGTTTAGATTACCTCTTGCAACTTTGTCTGGACTCAAAATCGGCCAATTCTGATTCAACAATATTTTATGACTCGCTAAACTGGTACCACTTCCTAANTTACTCACTAAACTGGTACCACTTCCTAATGAAGACTATATTTACAGACGCCATAAAATATACTAATGGCTACGCCGTTTCAGCTTTGGAGTTATTAATTAAAAACCCATTATAACATTGTAACATGTAATTTATGGTTCTAAAACAATCCATCTACAGTAAAAATAACGCCACCAATTTCCTGGCGACATAAATCATAGAAATTGACCGTCCACCTACACCCCTATCAACAGTGTCTTTTGAATTCATAATTGGTCCGTCATCTTTGTCTTCCAAAACGGTTGTCAATTAATTATCCTTTTGTCTCGTATATGGCCTGCGCTGACCATTACGTAATCTCAAAAGTTGGACAGGACTTTATTTAGAGAGCGATGGTGGCGGAGCTTGCCTGCCTCGTGAACCGTGGCTAAGGTGGGTCGCAGTAGTTAGCCGATTCGCTTCGGTCTTTAACTAGACTAATTTCTGTCCAGGTCAATAGGCCGACATGTTATCGGCGTCCTTAGTCACTGGATATAGAGACCTTGTACCAAAATCGCTGTATCTCTGCTAAATGCAATTGTTTATCAAATAAATCCCGGCAAATGAGTTTAAATGCGCTGTCAATGACGACTGACCACATGTTTATAATATGTATGCTCGTACAAATGGCAGTCTATTCAGATGGAGTTTAAATTCCTGTAACTACATCACGATTGGAATAAGTTGCCTCAGTAAAACAATCCGCAAATCACAATCACAACCCGAATGGTGCAAGTGCCCATTTAATATTGATGAATTCACAGATTGAACAAAACGTCGTGGTAAACTTGCATTCAGCTTTTACCTACTCTCGCTATGTCATAGGAACGTGCTCCTTTCCCGTATGAAATGCCTTCCAAACTGCACTTCCCAAACCGAGTTCAATCGTCAATATTCTTCGTGCCCATGAACAATGTGCAAAGTCATCACAACATTACAATTTCGTATATTTTCAACGGAACCTCAGATGATCCTCAAATTAAGGTCATGAGAACTACCTCCCAAGTGGCGTTCCTAACGCGATTTTCCCCGTTGCACCGGCCTTGGGGCCTCGTCACCTGCCGTTCCGGTACCGATCTTCCCGAAATTATAGGCGTGAAACCCACCCACGCGTGCGCCCGCGCCGTACTACTCATGTTACGATGCTCCAACCGCGCCCGGAATGAGGAAACGTGACTGGAGGACAGTCGGCAGTGCCTGGAAGTGGTCCCTACCTCTGAGATAATTATAAGTTATGTTCAATTTTTATAATGAAACTCAGTATGGAAAATTGCATTCCTACTTATTCATTCTTTCTAGGCTCTACATTTTTGTAAATGGCTTTTGCACTGTGTCCCCGAATATCGAATGCTAAAATGACTCATCATAAAACAAACAAACATACTAAAGCTGTGTTTCTTTTTTAAGGTAGTGCATCGCGTGCTGGTTCATCTGATGGTAAGTGATTCAGAAATTACACTTATCAGGAAACTTTGAAGGATAATTGTTAAGCACTCGAAGACTACGCAAATCAGGTTCATCGTAAAAAGCATTATTTTACTTGACATGTCCCGACGGAGACAGGTGGAGCCTAGCAATTGCAGGCATGTGCATTACTGGATTATGCATCGCACGTCTGGGGACNATGGGGACGATGCTCTCAGCGCGCGCGCACGGCGTGGCCACATGATTCATGTTGCATCTTCTTTGATTGCACCTATTTATAATTCACAGGATTCCAAGAGCTTTTGATCTGAACCTATCTTGACAATGATGTTAGCCAGAAATGGATTGCAATGCAGTTGCTAATATTAGTAAGACAATAAAGGCCGTAACGTGACACATTGAAGGGTGACACGTGGTGTAACCAGATATTGTGTATTTAGAAGAATACCTACCTATTCCCCTGAAAATAAGAATAGGCGTGAATATACCAAGAAGTACACTGATCTTGGTATAGCTAAATATGTTTGGTTTTGGCTGGGCTGCAAGCGGGTCATCTAACGCAAAGGCTGGGGGTACGCCCATCCAGTATGTGGATCTTGTCTCAGTGAGTTCGTGACGAGGAGTTGCTGACAGTGACTCACCCGACAAACTGGCTGGGTGCTCGCTCATCCAGCGTGCGGGCCCCGCGCTGCCAGTGGCGCGGCCGGTGCGTGCTCTGCTGGGGATAGCGCGGCTCAGCGGTCGCCAGCGAGCACAGCGCGCTCAGCACCAGCAGCGCTGGCAGGAACCACTGCATTGTCATCTTGGCACCATCACCCTGCATAACAAACAAACATTCAAGTCCGATGTTGTATAACATCCGGTAGGTATACACATCCGATATCAGTTTTACGACTTCGATCATGACCAAAATTATTATTAAACTTTTTACAAAAACATTGCATAAATATTCGGAGGAGCGCGCGTTTTATCACTAAATGCAATATTTTGATAGCCCGAGGTCAGAGCCGAAGCATTTGTAACCCAGTTAACTATTTTTAATGTCGAATGAATCAAGGCGGAGTGTGTACGCAAATTAATGAATCAAAACGAAGTTTCGAGATAAGGCGATGATAACCGTCGCTCGGGAGAATGCCTAATTGCGTGGACCACCGTGAAGTTGATAATTAAAAGGGAACCCGACGTTTCAAAGTTGGTCAGTTACAAAATTAGATTAAAGTCGTATTAGAAAAGTTTTCACAAAAGCTTTCAATCTCGTGGTCTACACATCCTTATTTGGACTTTTGAACATTCAATCTTTGCCAGCCAAATCAAGATCGAATGTGTGTATTTGGCAAACGATAAGACAATGTAAATGAAAGGCCGCAATGTGATTGGTAGAGCAAGAGTGTAGGCTGAAAACAAACACTGTCAGGCCCGTATATGGTCGGATTCCCATTCCGTCACACCATTTTGGGACAAAGGTACTATTTACAAATACCCACCCGAATAATGCTGATCGATCTAAGTCTTATTAGGTGTCGGTTTATGTATGCTGTTTTGAGGTGGTACTTCATCAATGTAACGTAAGACATTGTGGGAAGCAATTTAATACTACGATAAAAAATGTGGAGCAAAATCTTCACTGCTCTTTCTAACTTTAGGTTTGAATTATCTGAAACGATACCTCGTATATTAACATACAAAGGGATAGTTTTGTAGTAAAAAGAGACAGCTGTTATAATGAGTAATTAATATAGTTGCAGATATGTGAGGGGCGCGCGCGGGGAGGCGGGGTCAAGGAATCTGTGCCGAAATGATAACGGGGCCGACGACCCTACCCTATTGCAGCCACTCACTATATTTAGTGGAGAGGTAATCGTCGGTCCATCGATAAGGCCCAGAGGCCCACTGCAGTTTGAGGGACCTTAACCTTGCGAATTCCAAACCAGGTCAATAATGTGGGCACATGCGCATGGGCACAATTAGAGGTGGAAGTTGAAAGAATACCAATCATCCTCCTACGGGTATACCTATAAGATGTGCTAAGAAACATTTTAGATCTGCATTCAATTAATCGATCACATGTGTGTATTTGGCATAATCATAATATGTACTTGATTGAAATAATTGTAAGTTAACACATTATAAGTGCACATTTCCTCACCAAAACGTTTAAGAACTCATCATTTAGTGAGCCTAGAGTGCGCACAGTAAACATGCATGATAATTATAGGTTTAAGACCCTACAAAATTAATAATAAAGATATGAAACAGCGTCAACAGACGGTTGAAGAGCGTAGAGATTTGTGTTGGTGCGTAATTCATAACAATCTGTAGACGTTACGGAATCGTTAAACTCCGAACTGGTTCAAAACAATAAGCATCCGAATCAAAGGACGCCTGCGCAAGTCGGCAATTAGCTGTCATTGAAAGCTTAATTTGACGTTACGAGCGGAGAATATGGCGCAATAATAACGCTATAAATACAAACATTGATCTTATAACTGTTTTAAAGCAATAGCGATGTAGAGTAAGGCAAGTAAGTTTAAAGAACATGCCCTAAAAGATCTAAAAATTGACACTATAAAGCAGGACTAGAAGATTATCAGATAAAGAATACAAATAACATCATTTTAGACTCTGGATTGTTGTACGAATGCTGCAGATAGCATTTTTATCACAAACTAGACTGAACTGCTAAATCGTGGAACATAATACTTACTCAAATGTACAGTCACGGAATGAAAAGGTTCGTCAGTTTTCAAATTGATTCCTTCAACGAATCGCGAGCACATATTACCTTTTGAAACTATGTTACAGAATAATCTCGAGTTAGAGAAAATAATAAATAATCTTTAACTGTTTGTCAGTAAAGTTCAAAATTATTCAGATCAAAGTTGTTTGACGATTTATTTTGTCAAGAAGATTATTATGATTGATAAACTAAAACCTTTTTGTTGGTTCAATCTGCCATTATTATTTCTATTAAATAAAAAAAACTATTGTCAATTGGTCAATGTCATCGTTGCATTGCACGGATGGGATAGAAAAATAAACTAGCAAAACCTTATTTGTTAGCAAATGTCATATTTATTTAAATGTTAGCAGCACTGTTTCTTGCACTGTTATGTTGGCAGGTTTGACTCTTACAGTACCTAGTGCAAGCGAAAACCGACACTAAGGTGACGAACCTTTTCATTCTGCGACTGTACATTCATCGTGTTTCGAGAATAGCAAAATTTTTCAGATTCGGATCATTAAGTCCAAAGACTTAATTTACAAATTGTTTACAAAGGTACTAAAACACCTTCACCTTTAGGTATTGCAAAGCATTATCTGTATACTAGCTCTACAGAAATGTGAGATTTTAATTCAGACAAAACTGTGTGTTAGATAACATGCTACTGAGCTGCTGAGCTCAATTTAATCTACATTATAGATTCAATGTGCATTAGTAACCTAAGCCCACGATATCCTTTCTCATTACTCCAGTAGAGGTCAGTAAGTGAAGAGGAGAAAAAGTTCAAATGGAATAGAAGTCTCTTGTACTCATTTATTGATTGTTGCTTAGAGACGTAACTTCACTCACTCGCTATGTAATTTGTTGTCAATTAAAGTGACAAAGGATAGGAAATAATTATAGAGTTCTAAAGCTCACAACCAAAAGAATAATAAAGTCTTGAAATGACCTCGCAGAACAATATGCCCCTTGGTTTTTAAGGTAAAATAAGAAAATAAGTACTGTAAGAGTGAACTACTAATTGAGTCAGATTATTTAGAACCAAACTTACGTTACATTGCGTGCCTGCCCATAGCTGAATTAAAACGTAGCGGTGCGCTTCAAATCAAAGACGAGTGTCAATAGAGGCCGTTTTACTACCACATAACAGAAAGTTCACTTTGTATGGTAGTAACAAATAACAGTCGGTAAACAAAGCATTGATCCGACGCAATCGGCGCGATCCGGCGGTGACTCAGAGCGCCCACGCTCGAATCTGGGACCCCGCTACTATGCCGGGGACGCTAACTGGACTACACCGAGATTTCGCTGGAGACGATAATGGCTGGAGTGATAAGAAGTTCTACTGTTTTATGTGAAAGTGCTGTAAATATCTGTCTTCATTTGAAGAAAAAATCTGAATGGTCAATTACCTGAAGATGAAAATTAGGCGATATTAACACTCAGAAATCGACTTAATATGGACACCATAACTAAATTTATAATCGGATTGGTAATCATTATCCTAAAACTCTACATTTTAGAGCAAAGTTAATGCCAGAGTCGAAAATTAATACATTGTGTTGATCTATTCGTCGAAACCTTTGGGACTCTACACATCATCGGCCATTGACAAGTAGCTACAACATTTGAAACATTTGCAAAGGCATATAAATTGTATAACTGCGTTTCATTCCGTAGCGCCTTTTAAAACAGCATAGCAAGCAAGCATCTACGCTACTACAAAGAATGTGTGTAAAGAGAAGCACTAATTAAAAAACGTAAATGTGTAGTAGGTATTAAAGAAATAAACTAGATGTAATCAGCACAACGTACTAGGTGCCTAATCACAACCTGAGAGCAAACAGCAATTTGACTGATAACGGTGACAGACAGAATGAAGCCGCGAGCTAGAACAAATCCAACATCTTTGTTGGAATTCACATAATTTTCATACCTTATTACTACTACTATATTTTGACGTACGTACTTTTGGATATCTCTACCAACTTTTGCTTTTATTACAGGTTCTCATTTAGTAAACTAACAATATCAGTTCGGATCAATACAACTTTGTCCTGTCAAGCACAAGTTGCCTCCTTCAAAATTTCCCGTTATTTATTAGTTTAAGTACTTTCTTACCGTCCTTTAAAAACAAACAAAGTGGGAATCCTTTGATGGGTGTGAATGGCCCGTAACGAACTTTCCCCAAACACTCGCGACCCGAATCCGACGCAGATCCTCTAATAAGGCCGCCGCTTGTAATGTTTGCTGGCACGACGGGTTTCTTGTATTTATGATGGAAACATTTCAGTTTCAAATAACTGTTAGAAACTTAGAGGTCGAAGAGGAAGATTTAGCATTTAAAAAGTGATAAAGACTGAATACCATGTTACTAAAATATTTTACAAAATACTCGTAATTGGATCCAGTCGTCGATAGAACCACATGCAAAATTGGTTGGTGTTAGCTATAAATTCATGACTCTTATAAAGTGGATTTGAAAAGCAAGAATAGGTCAAGGTGGCCTTACCTTTTTTGTACGACAATGTGACCAAAACGAGATTTGGTGAGGTAATTAAACAGGTAATAGTTGATAATTTAGGAGCACTAAAACACAACTAAAGATCTGGTCGTTTTGGACATAGAAAAGATTTATTGCTCTTACTACTACCTCCAATTTATTATCATGGATACTGGTTTCAGGATAATCTCAGGTCTACCCAGCCTAGAATTAAATACAAATTACTATTTAATTACGCCTGAAATAGATTACTGTACAAGTAATAGAGTAGCTGCTACTACGGAAGCGGTTTAAGATAATGATTAATTTAATTTAATTTATTTATTACATTATGATAACCATACACATACAGCACTTTGTATCATACTAATAATACATGATACTACACCCTTAGAGTATGTAGAAATAAAAGTGTATGTAGAGATGTTTTAAAAGACAAGCATAGCAAGATCTAGAAGACAGCATAGAGTCATCCCAGTAGTATGGTTTGGNTTTTAAAAAAAATTCTGTTTATTGTAAATTTAATTTAATTTATTTATTACATTATGATAACCATTATACACATACAGAACTTTGTATCATACTAATAATA